ATATATTAAAATTTGAACATTATTGTAATCAAATGCCAGTACAGTATATAAATTAAGCTGACCTCGAAGCACTTATCAAACTTATAAAAAATACCGAACACAATACTGAATGTAGTTTTTCTTACAAAACTCAAGAACATATTCCTTGTGGGTTAGGATATATAGTTGTAAGGTATGATGGGAAAAAACCCGCCCGTGATTTATAGAGGTCCCGTTGCAGCGGGAAAGTTCCTAGAATATCTACAAAACGAAGAGAGAATAATCAGGGAAAATTTATCGCGTAAGAAACCCATGTGGGATATTTGGAAAGCCTATGAGAAGTCAACGATTTGTCATGTTTGTAATATAAACCACTCAATGGGGATTCCGTAAGAGATCATTGTCACGTCACGGGTAATTATCGGGGAGCCACGCATAACGAGTGTAACTTGAAACTAAAAATGAATTCTCAATACATATCATTCTCGTCGACTAAAACTGTACACTATATGGACAAGGATGGGAAAGCTAGAACAAAACAAAGTAATGGACTTAGATTCATAGACTTTGTTCAGTTTCTGTTATCTTCCCTGGACAATTTAGCTAATGCGAACAATCCCGATGACTTTGCAATAACAAATCAATATACTGATCGCTTAACACGGCATTTGTTGCTGAGAAAAGGTGTATATCCTTACGAATATAGGGATAATTGGTCTAGATTCGACGAAACTAAATTACCACCCCTTGGATCATTATATAGTAACTTAACAGAATCTAAAATAAGCGATGCCGATTATAAACACGCTATGACGGTGTGGGATAAATAGGTTAAACTTGTAAGAATTTAGGCGATGGGACTATTCCAGTCCCGGACTATCGTGGGATGCATTGTTGAAGAAGACCGGTGTAGAACTAAAACTACTCACCGATTACGATATGCACTTGTTTGTTGAGAAAAGATTAAGAGGTGGTATTTCGATGACGGCGAAAATGTATTCCAAGGCTAATAATAAATATGTGGAAGGATATGATCCGAGTAAACCCGATACACACATATTATATCTCGACGCCAACAATTTGTACGGATGGGCTATGAGTCAACCTTTACCCACGGGTGGTTTTGAGTGGATCGATGTGAATGATATCGATGTGATATCAATCCCCACAGATTCCGATAAAGGGTACATACTAGAAGTTGGCTTGGAATATCCAACAGAGTTACACAAAGATCATAACAGTTATCCGCAGGCTCCTGAAAGATTAATGGTTAATAAAGATTGGATGTCGGAATATCAACACTCCTTGATGGGCAATACTAGGTTAGCTAACGTGGAAAAACTCGTACCAAATTTGATGGATAAGACAAAATATATAGTTCACTACAGAAATCTCCAGTAATATCTATCATTAGGCATGAAACTAAAGAAAATACAGAGAGTTGTTAAGTTCGATCAAAGCCCTTGGATGGAGCCCTACATAATGCTGAACACAGATTTAAGAAAGATGGCTACCAGCGATTTCTAAAAGAATCTATATAAGCTAATGAATAACTCAGTATTTGTAAAAACTATGGAGAATCTAAGGAAGCGTGTTGATGTTAAGTTAGTCTGATCTAATGAGGAAAAAAGACTCAGGAAACTTATAGCCAGTCCGGCTTTTAACAGAAGCAAGATATTTGATAACGACTTAGCCGCACTACATATGCAGAAAAGTAATATAAAATTCAACAGACCGGTGTACGTTGGTATGAGTATTCTTGACTTGTCAAAACACTTAATGTATGACTTTTATTACAACAAACTTAAGAAGCAGTACGGTGATAGGTGTGAGGTGTTACATACCGACACAGATTCTTTGGTGATGGAAATACAAACCGAGGATGTGTATAAAGATATGGCAGAAAAAAATAGATATATAGTACACGAGCGATTACCCAAAAGATAATCCACTGCACAGCGTAGTAAATAAAAAGGTGTTAGGTAAGATGAAGGATGAATGTGCTGGGACCCCCATAGCGGAGTATGTCGGATTAAAACTTAAGATGTATTCTATAAAGAAGTCTGATAATGGAGAGATAAGAAAAGCTAAAGGTGTTAAGAAGTATGTGGTAAAAAAGCATATCAAACACGAACAGTATAAAGAAGCATTATTCAACGGTAGAACATTCAAACACGAGATGAACTCTTTAAGAAGTGTCAATCATAGGATATATGGATTAAGAACGAACAAGATATCATTATCCCCATTAGATACAAAGAGATGGATTGATAATGATGGTGTAACTACCTATGCTTATGGTTATGGTGGTAATACTGTATCGTTGGGAACTATGAGCAACTCTTCTTGTACAAATGCCCTGCCCGGCCCATCTTTAAGATAATAAAGAATAGGCTCTCCTTCTTTCATAACCAATCGACTAATGTTATGTATCTTTAGGGACCAAATCGGATCGGTTGCGGATGATGTTGGCCTCCTTCGAGTTCACCGGGCTGGTATAAATATCTTACGCTTACTCTATCCGGAAGTTTTTGTTCTTTTCCTCTCCGCGGTGCTGAAGATTCGGAAGTCACAGATTTCATTTTAATCGCATCGGATGGTTTCTTCCCGATTAATCTCGTTACTTCATTATTCAGCGCTGACACAACAGCTGCTAATCGTGTCACCCATTCGGTTGATCTCAATCGTTCCGATTTCATTTCAATCCCATACATGTACTGATATCCAAACAAACGTTCCGCTAATGTCCGGTTAAATCTTTCGACAATAGCTTGACTACGGTGGGCCTCTTTTTCACCACGCCTGATATGGACATCGTGCTTTGTTAACAGTTTAGTTACTGATCCCATAAACTCGCGACAAGGATCTACTTGAAATAACTTGGACCATTTTAGTGGTCCGCGTTTATATATGCGACTCAGTGCATTAGCTACTTCTGTTGAATCTTTTGAGGTTAATGGCTCAGCCTCCTCGTAGCGACTAGCCACATCCACTACGGTTAAAGCGTATTTATACGTTTTGCGTCTTACCTTATCATGGGGAAGAAACAAGAGGTCAGTTTGATGAACTTCATTCGTTGTAAAAATATCAAACTTCTTCCTCGGTCTATAACGCGGTGTTGGTAAGTATTGCCACATCGCTTGTTTCTTTAGCCAATCCTTGGCCACATCTTTAGATACCTTAGCCGCAGTGGCTAATTTTTGTATTGCACCTATACCTTTCCAATATCCTCGTGGGCTATAGTAAATTTTATCCATTATTAATTAATATTGATGTTTCTTTTAAAACGAATCATGACGATCATTGAATCGCATCATCATTTTTGCATAAAATATTCCCTCTGTAGTAGCAGTGTAGGTATATAAATCTGGCTCCAGTGGAAGTGGTCCAGAACCATCATTACCTATGCTACTAAACAGTTTAAGAGCAGCAGGTATACGAGCAAGACGCCCTGTTCTACGCGTCATATTGAGTCGACAACATCGTCAAACAACGACTGCATTGGTGTCGTCAACACAGGGTATGGCCTCAACTGCGATGGCGAAATGTCTGGTTCAGCGACGAATCAAGATTTCTCCTCCGTCGAGGGGATGGAAGAGCACGGGTCTACAGACGTCGGGGAGAATGTTACGCCGGAATTTGCGTACGGGAAGTGGACAGGTTTGGTGGGGGTAGCGTTATGGTGTGGGCGGCTATCTCTCATCATGACAGGACAGGTTTGGTTCATATCCAGGGCAATCTTACACCTCAACGATACATCAATGAAATTTTCCTACCACACGTCCTCCCAATTGAAGCCAACGGCAACGGTGTATTCCAGCAGGACAATGTTCGACCGCATACAACACATATCACAAGAGCCTTTCTACACAACAACAACGTTGATGTTCTCCCCTAGCCCTCCAGATCCCCGGATTTGAACCCGATAGAGCACCTATGGAATTAATTGGATAGACGGCAACGCCGACGTCATTCACAACCCCAGACGCTGCAGCAGTTGGCTTTTGCGTTGCAGGCCGAGTAGGCTACCATTCCTCAAGATGTGAATCGCATACTCGTCTCTTCCATGGGCAGGAGATGTCAGGCCGCTATCGATTCCATACGCGTTATTGATGGTAGCTGACTATCACCTTTGACTTTTCCTATGTACCGATAACTGAGATGACTACAATCACCAAGTGTTCTCTCCACAACATTTTGGTACAATACCTTGTCTGGTTCCTCGTATAAATGTATTTTCCTACCTCACACAGATCTTGCTTCGCTTTTCTTTTTTTTTGAAGAGAATATCTATATCTAAGTAAACTTGTGTGTACCGCAAGCTATCAACTCTATGTTGTCACTTCCTACCAAGCACCGTAAGCCGACCCCTTGCATATAGGAATATGCAAATAATCATCAGCAAAGAAAATCCAAAACACGTACGATTCTTGCTCATGGATCAAGTAACAACATTCAATGCCTTCGTAGTGAGTTGGGTGTAACTCTTTGTTAGTAATTCATAAACACATGTTTATTATGTTTTGTTTGTTTGTCTGTCTGTTGTTTAACGCCGAACTCAGCAATATTCCAGCTATATGGCTGCGGTCTGTTAATAATCGAGTCTGGACGAGACAACCAAGTGATTGACATCATGAGCATCAATCCAATCAATTGGGATACGATGACATGCATCAACCAAGTCAGCGAGACTGACCTCCCGATCCCGTTAGTCGCCTCTTACGACAAGCACAGTCGCAATTTACGGAAAGCATGGGTTGCTGAAGACCCCGGATCTTCACGGGCTTGTTTATGATGTATTCGGATTCGCACAATGAACTTTGGTTGAGCTTTCATTTGGTTAAGGAAAGGTTTTGTCGTTTAACTTTCCACCCGCATGATTATTAACTGATGGACTCTCAGCGATAATGCCTGGTTAGTTAATCAAATTGGAAGAAATAATACAAAACTGTAGAATGTTGGATTGACAAAAACACAACAAAGCCAAATGTTTCTGTACGAGACACTGTATAAGCACTTACCTTGGGCCAGCCTTCGATGTTGCTGAAGACAAACCCTTGTCGATGCACAACATCCACGCGGTCACTGCTGTTACTGTTGAGGAAACAGGTGCGTGACTCAAGTTCATAACTGAAGGACAGACAGGCGGAGGACATCAGACATTCTGCTGCACAGGAGTAGAGAGCATCAGTTGCAACTTTCCTGAACACCTGGTGTTCTATGTACCTGTTATACTGTATTGCAGAATATTCATCGAAGCAATTGTCACAATGCACCAAACTTCCCGATAATAAGAAAAATACTTCAACACTTAAAAGGCCCATTTCAATCAAGCAGTTTAGCCGACCTCTTCAAAGAAGCCTGTTGGTTTTACCTTCAAGCATAGACTGTTGCTGAAACCAAAGACCTTTATTTAAAGACATTTGTAAAAAAAGACAATGGAAGGAACTATTGATTTGGTGTCAAATGTGATTCCACCATCGGAAACTCGTTCATTCTCAAATGTATAATTCATGACCTTATCATTGATCAGAAGTTTACATAAAGAAGGGATAATATAACACAAGACCATGGTTTAATGAAGAATTGAAACGTTGGTAGTCTCATATTCGGCCTTTGGGTCCCTTGTGGCTAATTTACCCTGCAAAAATAGAAATCCATAATTGATGGTAGACGTATATGTTATATATCATATACATAAAAAACAAATGGTAATCGATTGTTCATAATTGGCACACGGCATCGTCATTGACCCAGGTTTCATATAGCACACATGGAACAGTAGAGTTTCAAGATGAAGGTCATCTGTTCTCAATATATTGTATGTGATATGTTTGTTTAATTTCATCTATTAGATATTTTCATTGTATTTTTATGCATATTTGCAGAGTTCAGAATCATTGTGCATTGCACAGAAAATAAAGTCAGCTGTCAACTCACACCCCAGTAGCCTGTTCTGTGTCTGCTGCCGTTACCTTCCTGCCCTTACTACACATCTACCATTAAACTCTTGGCCTTGAATGCTGTAACCCTGATCAAACAAGTTTTCAGCAAGAGTACCCACGATGCTCTTTGAAATCTTCATAGAAAGAGCATGCTGAATTGTACCTTAAACTTGTGAAAATAATTTTTTTTTAACTAAGTGGTTGCGCAACACTGTTCCCTTCTTATAGTGAAATGTGAACACCAAAGGCTGGAGTTGCTGGAATGTTGCTTCGCCGTAATGAGGAAAGTTGAAGTCATCCTTTTTGTCACACAATCTTGTGGATAGTTTTATGTCACTCTTATTTTGGAATCTTTACGCATAGATCTAAACATGAAACAGATGAGGCTATTTGACCATTATTGATATCAGATCATATGCAACAGATCGACCAGAACGTGAGCACAGTTGGTGCCCATGGGGATGCCTACTTTTCGTATAATTTCTGACCCCCATGGGGGTAATGGGAACAGTGGAGAGACAAACACTTCAGCAGACTGATCCACAATCTGCTGTACATTACAAAATCTGGAAAAAGAAGTGCAAATATTTGAATGATTTTATTCAACAATTAATACATTACAAATAAATTGCATATAATACTGAAACTCAAATGTACCACTTATGCACAATAATTAACTGAAAGTTTGATAAGTGAAATGTGCCTACTTTTGCATTTTGATTATCATCTTCATGACTAGTACTGTGTTTTACTGACTCAATTCTTTGTTTTGCCTTGGCGATTGAAAAAAGATGAATGAAAACAGGTGGTTTAATGACACATACCGATACCTTCTGGTACATGCTGGTCAAACGAGATCACATTATACATATAATGTGATGCACATCATGAACAAGAACCAAGATACTGAAAACTGGTGAAATAAAAAGATGTTTCTGTCTCACATTTGACCAATTATTAGGTATTTCCGGACTTAAGTCAGTCATGAAGCAGTCGACTGGATAAGATTGCCTTGCAACTAAGGGGAATACAACAGTACGCTTCTGCATAAAAACAAAAGAAAACAAACAAGACCAGAATAAATCCATTAATTTCAATGTCTGCATAAAAAACAATTGTCAATAGTTGATGGGTTTGTCTGCACAATATATCTTGATCACCCAAGAATGCATTCAGGTGAGGTCATATGATGTTTAGGTGGTGAAATGGGGTTTAATGTTGTGTCCCAGAGTAATGCACTTATATAGCGACATGGTGCATGCCCGTGTGTGTGTGGCTGCTTGTTCTATTCCAGACTTATGCCGATTTATAGTGCTAGCCCACTGAGAAACCATGCCGCAGTTTAACATGAATACCCCACTCAGACACAGTATACTGACTCTGAGTCGACCAGTCCTTGTTTTAGCCCCTTAATGCTGAGCGCCAGGCAGGGTAAAAACAAGTAAAGTCTTTTAACATCTTTTGGTTTGATGCGTCCAAGGATTGAAGCACAAACCTTCCACTCTCTAGGCAGACCCTCTTCCCAATGAATATGGAGGTGGTCTGCCACAAAATAAACATATATCCCCTCTACACTATCAGCCCATTATATTTGCAGGAATGGAGAAAGATCGTGTATACATACCCATGAAGTATTGACAATGCCAACCCACTATCAGGCTGTGAAATCTTCAAAATATCCAGGTTAGACTCTCGAAGGTCCCAGATTAGAAGTTCATTTGTCCCAACCTACTCCCCTTGAATCTACACGGATGTAAATGACTTGTCATCTCAAGACTAAATTGACTTGTCATCTCAAGACTAACATGACTTATCTCAAAACTAACATGACTTGTCTCAAAACTAACAAGGCTAACTATGACTTATTATCTCAAAGCTATACTGGACTCAAAGTCAACATGGCCAAATACAGGCCACAACCTACACAACACAAGTCATGAATTCGAGAATCTTGTTTAACATTGCATGACAGTACAAGAAAGCACAAAGCATAACAAGGTACCAAACTGAATGCCTATATGTGTCTGTATCCCAAATGAACACACAGTGATTTGATTTGAAAACATCAACAAGTATATCATGTATATATTTTCAGAAAACTCTGTACCATGACACATGATCTGTTCCCAGAGGTAATAATATAACTATGTCTGTAAACATACATGAACAATGCATACAGAATATGCTGCAGTTTTCAATAATTGTGAAACAGTTCAGTTGTGACAAGAAACTTCAACAGCTAGGGTGAGTTGAATTTAATGTTGCTTTGCACTGTATTTCATTTATATCACAGAGTGTCAGTTTAACGCCACACTCAGCAGTATTCAAGCAACATATACTATAGTGGCCTGCAAATAATCAAGTCTGGACCAGACAATCCAATGATCGATACATGCCATCGGGTTATGAGGACACAGACTATCATCGGAGTCTGACCATCCGATCCATTTGGTCGCCTCTTGTGACGAGTTTAGGTTGTTTGGTACCAATTCTTACCCAGAATCCCCAGTGTATCAGATAAGTGTCAGAAATAAGCCCAGGAGAAAAGGATCATAATCTGTGTTATTCTTGGATTCGAACAAATGACTAGCCGATCATGCTGATACTTTATTGTCTTGACATTACGCAAAACTGCTTCTTTTTTCATAATTATCATGTCTAGACTCAATTATTTACAGACCGCCGTCATATAGCTGGAATACTGCCAAGCGCGGCGTTAAACAACAAACAAACAAACATAATTATCATTTAGACTTCATAAACAACACAACTCTGAATGTAGATCTAATATGTGAACATCCTTGAGCAAAATTTGGACAATTCACCACGTAATTTGATTCAAAGACTTAGTGCTATTTTTGGAAGAACTTCATCCAAACTGGACACATTTATAAATTGTCATACTTTTGTTGGCTATGTTTGTTTTCATATTGTGTGGCTCTCCATGTATTTCTGCCGACTGTTCTGGGACAAAGTTACAAAAGTACATAAACACATTACAAGGGGTGGCTGAAATGTTCTGAGCCTAACTACAAAATATGTATAGTGCATCCTTAACAGTTTGCATGTATTAAGTAAACTAATTTCCATGCTTACAGGCTGAATTGGAACCAAATACACAACCAGGCAGCATATTTCTGCAGGCATCAAAGTGACCAAGTATTCTCTCTTGATGAAAATGGACAATATGGATACCATCCTGTCATGAAGTTTCTCCAACTTAAAGGGCTAACAGCCATCCATGCGGACGTGGTGTCAACTTTAGGGGATGATACTCCTTCCTTTGCCACTGTTAATGGGTGGGCAGAGGAGTTCAAGAAGGGAAGAGAGAGCCTCGAACATAATCCAAGATCAGGAAGATCTTAAACCGTCACTACAGAGGAAAATGTTGCTAAAATACATGACATGATCATGGGCAATAACAGCTCACAACATGTCACACAGCCGATACATCGCCAAAGGAAGGAGGCAAAATCTTTTCCGTCAGCTGGCATGGCGATGGCTTTGGTTTTTAGGGATTACAATGGAATCGTACTGTTAAACGATCTCCCAAAATGTCTGACAACTAATAATAATAAGTGCATTTATAATGCGCCACATTCCATTCACCAAGTGGATGCTCATAGCGCTACACTATTATTACCCCGATCAATGCCTGTGAGGTGATAGAAGGTTAACAGCCACATTACCATCTCATCCTACTGGGTACCCATTCACTGCTGGGTGAACAGAGGCACATTTCGAACAAAGTCACTTGCCTATGGAGACACCACATGTGGTACATGAGCTTCAGTGTGGGGCAGGACCGAAGCCCTAGAAACTCTCAGGAGTCAAGCTGCTTAACTAATGGCTAATATTATGCTAAGGCAACTGCATGAAAATATGAAGGTTTTATGTTGTGGAAAACTTGATAAACAATTGTTCAACCAGGACAAAGGACCAGTGCACATTTCTGTTGTTGCCATGCAACGACTGTGGCTTTGAGTTAACTGAATATCCTCGGTCTTCACCAGATTCACCATCAGATTTCCACCTCTTCCCAAACATGAAGAAAGATCAGTCTGGCAAGCATTATACAAATGGTGTCATTTCTGCAGTAAAAGACTTTTTACACCACCAGGAGGAAGCCTTCTATACCAGTGGGATCGAGGCACTCCACCATCATTGGCAGAAGTGTGCTGACCTCCATCAACACTGTCAATCCTAGTTAGGTTCAGAACTTTTCAACCACCCATCTTACTATGACAGACTCCCAGGTTTCATCAATGTTGGTATATATGTGTCTACAATTCGGGACAAACACTTTATATAATACACTCATAGAGAGACACCAGTACATTCTAGAAAACCATGAAGGAGACTATCAGGGTTTGCCTATTACTCAAAACTGAAGCTAGAAGGATTTGGAGCAGAGGCTCAAGTTGAAATGTGAAACTTGAAATGTGAAACATGACATGTGAATAATGAAATGGGAAGCAAAAATGTGAAAGCTGTAGAAACCAGAAGTAGACAGATGATTTCTTATGATTAAAGATCTGCATCACAATATTACAACACACCATGTGAAGGCTGTATAACTGTATAACCATAGGAAATAGATATGTATCAGTATCTTCTGAGCAATGTTTAATCTGAGGTATGTTACAATAGCATTGCAGTCGGTGGAGGAACTCTCCCCTTATGAATATGAAAAAGTCTACACTATCAGAATATACATATGATATCGTAACAAAGCAATCATAGTTGTATTTGAAGAATGTCATCCATAAATCTCCAGTACTGGAAGAGTAAGAAACTGTTCATTGTTTATATGTGCAACATTCTTTTCATCTCCTACCAAAAGTATGGGTGTTACAAGTGCCATTCTTTTCATCTCCCACTAAAAATACATTTTTCAGAAATTAATAACAGGGAGACTTGTTATCCACCGTTATCAAACAAGAAACTTTGGATGAAAAAATATGCAGCTCACTTAAAGTGAGGTACACAGTAACATCTATCCTTACAAAAATATCTTGTCAGTATTTAAACCATTTCAACATCCGTCAGTCAGTGATTGGTTGCCATGGTGACCTAGAGTATTTCATTTCAACCATTATTGACATTCAAGCCCCCATTATGCAGAGCACTCCCTCAATATGCACAACTGACAACACAAGCTACACATTTGGAAATGCTAGTTAAGTGAGATTCTCCATCAGGTTCGTAACATGAGAGTGAGTTCCCATTTTGGGAAAAGTTTTACCAGTAAATACAGCATCAGTGAAAAGCAGCACAACTGTAGCAAGTGTATAAAATAATGGGTACAGGGCCATGGGAGTTACAAGCATCCAAGACCTATTGTGAGTCTATTTTGAAACAGCTACTGTGAATCTATGTTACAATCCCCCCAGTGACATCATGCCATTGTTGTGTCGGGGGTTTCCTTCTTTGAGCATGTACTTGGGACTCAATCCGCGACATTGAATATACAGTCTTACTTTCCCAGGAAGTCCTGCTTTCAGGTTTTTCTTCTCAGTGAGTAAGTGAGTGAGTTGGGTTTAACGCTGCTTTTAACATTATTCCAGTTATATCACAGCGTGTCAGCTTAATGTGGGAGGAAAGCCTGAAGTGATGCAGGTCTCTCGGACATTTACCACTTCAGTGAAACCCACGAGCACGGGTATGGTGCTGACAAACCTAGAAACATAATCTAAGCAAACTGGGATTTGAACCCACAATTATAGGTTTCTGGCGTGCCCAAGGGATGCAACTCTGCACGGCGAATCGCGGCGCTTTAGATGACTGGGCCACCCGTGCCCCCTTTTCTTCTCATGACGCCCAAGACCCAGATTTGATTCCCCACATGGGTACAATTTGTGAAATCCATTTCTGGTGTCCCCCGCCATGATATTGCTGGAATATTGCTAAAAGTGGCATAAACCAGACTCACTCACTCCCACATAAAAACAAAAACATTCTGCTGTTGTGAACAACCCTTCAGCACAGACGTTACAATATCAACTTGTCAACACACATATGATTCACTTACAAACAGCAAGAGTCACTTGAGCAAATGTGGAAATCCTATTTCCAACTGACTACTTGAAATACTACATATCAGCTCTGACTATCATAAAAGTTTTAAAAGACCTGCACTTGGTACAGAATCTAACCCCATACTGTCTAAGAGCATGAAAAATTACAAGGTACATCTATATACACAGCAGGATGTCATGCAGCAATCTTAGTGATATCTTAAACTGCATGTGAGTGAGTGAGTTGGGTTTAATGCCGCTTTTAACATCATTCCAGTTATATCACAGCGTGTCAGCTTAATGTGGGAGGAAAGCCCAAAGTGATGCAGGTCTCGGACATATACCACTTCGGTGAAACCCACGAGCATGGGTATGGTGCTGACAAACCTAGAAACATAATTGGGGCGAACTGGTATTTGAACCTACAATCATAGGTTTCTGGCGTGCCCAAGGGACACAACTCTGCACAGCGAATCGGGGCGCCTTAAACAATCCATGCCCCCTAAAACTGCATGTGAAAGTACTGACATACCCCATGGATAATCACAGAAAGTATGGGAAAATGAAGTAATCTGTTACCACTGCCTTAGCCCCTCCACGGCATGTCTCTGGCCTGTCACTGTCACAGTCCATTAGACAGCAGGTCAATCTGTGGTTCCTGGGCGCAATTCCACAAAGCGATGTTAGCACTACGGCTATGTTAAAGACATGAACAATTCCCTATTTTAGGATGTCATGACAGTGATGTCACTTAGCTGTGGAACCATCTCAATATGTTTCGATATAATCAGGGAATACTGCTAGCGTAGTTCTTCTCCATTCATTCTTTCTAACCACTTGGAGATTGTTTGCTGTCCTAGGCCTGTTTTATTTTTATGGTTATGATTGTACTGTTTCAAATCATTTTTATTATTTTCTCAGTTTTATTATTTGTTGTTATTTTGGACACACCATTGTAAGATCTACCAAACAAGGGAATGTGCCACAGAGAGATCTTATGCAGCTCAAAGAGAACCAGGGCCTTGTTCTGCAAAGTGATCTTATCCCAAAAATTATCGTAACTCCCATTTCTTCCGTAACATGAATTAGCATCCTGAATTATCCAGTGTATTAAATCACCATTGTATTTATGATAAAAAGCCTGGACCCATTTGCAATCATAGCCTCCATTTGAATGACATGATGCCATCAAACAGCCATCCAATCAAATTATTTTTTGGTTTTGGGGGGGGGGTTGTTCATGCTAGTATGAAACTGAATTTTGTTTACAATAATATCGTGAAATCATGTTGCAAAACGTACAGCTGACTTCATGCCGGGGGTCCTGAGAACCAAGGCTATTATTTTTTTAGCCTCAGAGAGATGGAGATGGTGACATCACGTTGGTGGCATAAGGGTCCAGGGTATTTATCATGATAGAAAGGAGATATAATACACTGGACAATTGAGGATGTAGAGTGGAGCCCCCCCAGTTTTCTCTGCAAACATTTAGAGATGGATCCCGACATGTACATATGTCAAGCTGATACAGTGTTGAAAAAAAGGGGGTCCAGAGGTCCTTAAGGTTTGCTCCGATAGTATTTGAATCTAGGGACCTCCTAAACCTTCAACTTTTAACATTACGGTTGTGACAAGGACCCATGACTTTCATGCTGAACTTCAAATAATACTAATACCTGTGTTAACAATTCCATTGTGTTATTTGGGAATTCCTCATCTTATCAAGTTGATCTCAGACAAACGTATGAAAGACATTTTTATAAAAAAAATAATCCAATTCCTCAACACCATCCAAGGTGAGTCTTTGATTGCACTGATGTCCATGTACCTGTCATCTTCCCGAAGCAAGAGAGTAAACTGACTTAAAAGTCCAGTTTCCACCCTTGCCGAACTAGGCTAGAATTACTGGGCTCGATCATAACGCCACCAGTGGCTATACCAGTTATGTTCCCTCTAAGCCTCTCCTATGGATCAATGAGATTCCACCTCTAGTATCACTTTGTTTGTTTCACCAAAAATGGTGGCGCCCAGTCAGGACGATCTGTTCGATAATCAAGATCTATATTGTGATAAAACGGGCCTTACATCGCGATATACATCAAATCACGTGAGCACCTTGATTAAAAACATGAAAAGATTTGGAAAATATCTGCTGACGAGTTGGCTGTGCACATGATTTGCAAATCCTGCAATCGACCGAAATCTGCACAACAGTTAACGAACCGGATTTCGATTTCGGTGAGCGATTTTGATTGGACTTTGCATAGACTCGTTAGTCCAGCCAAAATGTAACTCCATAATACCAGCCTAGTTCGGCAAGGGTTGAAACTGGACTTTAATAGTCAGTGAACTCACTTTCCTTGGGAAGATGTGTACTTGTCTGATTACTTTACTTCACCCAAAATGACACAAAGAGTTATTTCAAGATTTGATTCACAAAACAATGAAATGTTTTATGTCAAATACAAAATTTCATATCTATGAGTATGAATAATACCACATGTAATTATGTCCCAGTTACCATCAACAATGGTTTCTAACCAGTAACAAAAATGAAATAATCTATATTCTTAATAGAATTCCAGAGATGGAGCGAGTTGGACCACTTTGAACAAGCTTCCAGTCATATCATGGGTGTCAGTGGGAGGGAAGTGGCTGTGAAGCAGGCTGAACACTCAAACCACTCCTGGGAAACCCATGCTCCAACCACTCCCAGAAATCCACACTCCAACCACTCCGGGAAACCCATGATCCAACCACTCTGGGAAACCTACACTCCAACCACTCTGGGAAACCAACGCTCCAACCACTCTGGGAAACCTACACTCCAACAACTCTGGGAAACCCACGCTCCATCCACTCCGGGAAACCCACACCCCAACCACTCTGGAAACCCATGCTCCAACCACTCTGGGAAACCCACACTCCAACCACTCCGGGAAACCTACACTCCAACCACTCTGGGAAAACAACACTCCAACCACTCCGGGAAACCCACACTCCAACCACTCTGGGAAACCCATGATCCAACCACTCTGGGAAACATACACTCCAACCACTCTGGGAAACCCACGCTCCAACCACTCCGGCAAACCCATGATCAAACCATTCTGGGAAACCGACGCTCCAACCACTCCGGGAAACCTAAACTCCAACCACTCCGGGAAACCCACACCCCAACCGCTCTGGAAACCCATGCTCCAACCACTCTGGGAAACCAACACTCCAACCACTCCGAGAAACCCATGATCCAACCACTCTGGGAAACCAACACTCCAACCACTCCGGGAAACCCCTCCCCTCCCCTTCAATGATGAATGAGGATCAATAAAACCAGTTTCAGAATGATTACAGTCTAAAGTATATACATACTCATGCATACTCTTGCATTTTTCATCAGTATTTCGGGTTTACAATACAAGTTACTGCACCTCTCACTGATGATGAGTATTGAGTGAAGTAATTATTACTGTGAACACTCTTTTCAACAAGCACCTCACCTCTATTGATCATGGGATGACAATTAACAAATTAACAAGTGCAATCATAAAAATAAAGCAAGCTAAAGTAATAACATAGTTCATAAAACAAAATCCATAAACAAATATATATCTAACTGTATATCTGAATAAAATATTGGTATAAAATAAACTTGATATACTGTTTGATCTTCTCTGCAAATAATACTGAGCACTGACTATCATCACTGTTGCAAGAGCTCATAAAGACTTTTATACCTTAAAAACTGCCACTTGTAAAACACTGACATACAGCATAAAAGGAGTTCCCAATGAACAAAAAATGATGCTTTGTACATTTCTAAAGACGGACTATGCATGGGTAGACGGCAGTTCTAGCAAATCAATAACATCACAGAAAACAATGGAATACAGACAAAAGTTCACTAGCGAAAAAACGCCATTGAGAATAAAACATTATATAAGCCACTGACCATGTGCAACATCGTTCCTTCCCTGGAAGGAGTGAGTGAATGTTGTTTTATGCCACAGCCAGCAATATTACATCGTTATCATGGCTAGAAAGATCAGTGGCTGACAGTATGAGCCCAAATAGTGTAGTCAGGTAGACGCCACATAATCAGTTAGGCCACACATATCAATCAGCTGATCCATTCTGGCCAGTTCTTATTTTAAGAACTATCATGGGTAATGGGAACCTATTCTGACCAGAGCCCATCCCTCAATGGTGAAAGCAATCGTAGCGCTTAGACAATCGAAACTTCCACGCTTTACCACAGACTTAGGACAGTCACAACGCTAACATCGCTTTGAGGAATGGGTTGCAGGAAGCCTCACAGGTCCTCTAAATGTCATCTAAAGGAAAGTGACATTAATATTAAAACAAGGTTTAAGTGATCGTTTTGCATTGATTTTTCAACAGTTCAATGAAACAGGACAAAGGTAGTCTAACATCATTCTTGGAAAATACTGTACATGACAACTTGAGACACAAACATCTCTGTACATGTTTGTGGCTTAATCTCCCTCTAAAACACCGGCCTATGTGGCATCCTGGGGTGAAAGTTGAACAAGTATGACGACATATTTAAAAGCGTTGCTGATGGATCCGGTCTTTCAGAAATAAACCCATTACAATATGTGAAGGTGGCATTCCCATGATGCTCTCTCTCGAACCAATACGTCGTATTCAGGAACTGCACCTCATCCAGTGTTAGATTCCTCATCGTCTGGTTGCTATGGAGGTCGTGATAGATAAGTGTCAAATTCAAATCTTTTCCGAGTATAAGAAAACAGTTGCTGTGGTTGTTGAGATGGGACAAGACGCGGTCAATGATGATGCCCATGGCGAGGACCATGAGCAGACAGACCACAAACACGCCACGCTTCAGTAGCGTTTTCTGGAGGTCGGTCAGCTCGTCAGACTGACTGCTGCGTACACTCTCCAGACTGCTGTAGGTGGACAGCTGGATGTGGTCAGCCTCCATGAGGTCCGTGTCTGACATCGACATTGGGCGGTGTAGAGGGGATATGTCTGGAAAACAATGACATGATACATAGAGGATACTATATGAGTGTTTATGTCCCACTATGTTTACGAAACAAGTGTCTAAATTCTGGTATTTCCCGAGCAAAAGCGAAATAAGATTCGAACGTCAACAATGCTGTACGGATGATGGAAACAATACACTAGTTGTCTCGTGACGTGAAATGACCCTATGGTTCATATGATTTTTATGAACCTCGATATGTTTGCCCTCGTAGGTAATAAATAGAGCTAATCAGGACGTGCACAGGTTGAACAGGCTGAAATACTTTGTGCGACAGAAAAAAGAATGGCTTCTTGAAAAATTAAATTTATCAATATTTCATGTTACATATAACTGACATTTCTACTCTGGAAAGAGACACACTCACAGTTCAATGAATAATCTAACATCAAAGCCCCATCTAAGTAGGCTTGAGTGTTATGAACATATGCAGTGACATGACATCAGTAAAACTCTTGGAAATCATGTGAAGTGTGCCCCATGATGCCAGCCCTGACCCCCATGTTCTTGCCTGGCCGCTGTTTGGAATTGTGTCAATTTTGAGTGAGTGAGTATGGTTTTATGCCGCTTTTAGCAATATTTGAGCAATATCACGGCGGGGGACACCAGAAATGGGCTTCACACATTGTACCCATGTCGGGAATCAAACCCAGGTCTTCGGCGTGACGAGCGAACGCTTTAACCACTAGGCTACCCGACCGCCCCGTGTCAATTTTAAAAGCATACCATCAAATGATAGATTTACAGAACAATGATGCCATTACATTTAGTTTACATGATCACCCATAAACTAGTGTATAATGATACAGAATGTTTCAAAAGGGGTGTTTCACATCCCTGCTCCTCTTCTAGCTCCGTTAGCACAGTTCTAGACTGGTATACACAATATCCCCACAACAGATACATATTCATGCTGAATCTATTCAAGCCAGTGTTACGTATGAATACCTTTATCTGTTGGTTCTTGGTCGCTGCCTGTAGCACCAGCACGGTTTTGAGCCTGAAACAGATCATAACTAAGGTATGAACTTGTTATCTTTACATCACTGAAGTAGAATCTTCTAAACCACACCTTTATGTCATGATAAAAAGGGCAAAAGTGAGCGTGGCTCACTTATACCCCCGACCCACCTAGTGTGTCAGTAGTTTCAAATTAAATAATGGATAGGGTTAGGGTTTGAAAAATTCATAAAAAAATGGAAAATTAATAAAAACAATTTTTTTCTTTTGACTGCACCCCTCCATATGACACAGATTATATGTACTAAGTTTGAGATGAATCCACTGAATAGTTTAAGAGAAATCGCGTGGACAAAGTTTTTGGAAGGACGGACGGAACCTTGGTATAACTATATACCCACGACCTAAAAGGCCGGGCATATAATTAACTGATTTCATCCTTAACAAAATAATAATAACCAGTGAATGAGTTCGGTTTAACACCGTTTTGAACAGAATTTCTGTTATATCCCCATATTTCATGTTGGAGGATGTCCAAAGTGATCGAGGTGATGCAGGTGTCAGACATTACCATTTACCACTTTAGTGAAACTCATGAGCAAGATCATTGTGGTGAGAAACCTAGAAACATAATGAGAGTGAATCTCAGATTCAAACCTACGATCATAGGATTCTGGAACAACTAAGGGATGCACAGCAAATTGCTCACCTTTGACGACTGTGCCGTCTGTGCCCGCTATACAAATAAAATGGAACATGCAATCCACAATTCTTACTCCATCATGTGGAAAGTGACTGTATGCTGTTTTGGTGAGTGAGTTGGGTTTATTGCTGTTTTCAACAGTATTCCAGTTATATTACGGTGTGTCAGCATGGTGTGGGAGGAAAGCCCGAAATGATGCAGGTCTCAGACGTTTACCACTTCAGTGAAACCTACGAGCATGAGTATGGTGCAGACAAACCTAGAAACATAATCGGGCAAACAGTTATAAGAACCCACAATCATAGGTTTCTGGCGTGCCCAAGGGACGCAACTCTACACAGTGAATTGTAGCGCCTTAGACAACTGGGCCACCCGTGCCCCTGCAGGCTGTTTTAATGAATGTAGCAGGTCCAGACCACACTGTTTGTATACTTACAAGTTTCGACTGTTTGGTCCAGTCTATGACTCCAATCTTGATGAGGAAGGCCATAGATTGGAGGAACACGGACAGAATCAGAGCAGACCACATACCTGTAACACAACCAAGGTGTAGGTGTGAGTTGGGCTTTGGCAACATCTTCAACAACAGCTGAAGTGGATGGTCGTCATGACGCTTGAGACAAACATGAAACTACTGACAGTGATGAGGTTCAGCTTTCCGAGCATAAATTAATGAAATTCAAACCTTGAAAAAACAAATTGATTGTTAAATGCCCCATTTCTTACCAAGGGAATTATTTGTTGCACTTTACCATGTTTTCAGAATGTATAAATCACATCTATCACCTCTAGTTGAGTGAGTATGATTTAATGCCGCTTTTAGCAATATTCCAGCAATATGAGGGAGGGAGGGAGGGAGGGATGGAGGGAGGGTTGGAGTGAGTGAGTGAGTGAGTGAGTGAGTGAGTGAGTGAGTGGGTAACAGGTATTGACACTATTTCTGTTGTATTACGGCATGTTTACTTCATGTTGGTGGTAAGACTGCAGAGACACGTCTTGGAAAGCCACAAGCACAGGAATACAGTGCTGACAAATCAAGAATCATCATTGGGGAATAAAAGAGACTAAAAAGTAAATTAATGCAAGATATTATTGAGTACCTTCAAGTCGTAAGAATGTCTTGAACATGAGCAGTGCACCAATCGGCAGGGCTATAACGTAGTAGGAGAAAAAGTTCATGGTGGCGCCAAACAACTGCTTGCCAGACCCTCGCAACACGCCACTGCAGACACCCTGTCGACAGAGGATACTGTCAAATACTACAAGACTACAATAAAAATAAAAATAGCTCTCACTCATAAACCATCATCATCCTCATCCTCCTCCTCCTCCTCGTCATCCTCATCATCATCATCCTCCTCATCGTCATCCTCCTCATCCTCCTCATCCTCATCGTCATCATCCTCATCCTCCTCATCATCATCATCATCATCCTCATCCTTATCCTCATCATCCTCCTCCTCATCGTCATCCTCATCCTTATCATCCTCATCCTCCTCATCATCCTCATCCTCCTCATCATCATCCTCATCATCATCCTCCTCATCGTCATCGTCATCCTCATCCATCATCATCATCATCATCCTCATCCTCATCATCCTCATCGTCATCGTCATCCTCCTCCTCATCCTCATCGTCATCCTCCTCATCCTTATCATCCTCATCATCGTCATCAACATCATCATCATCATCCTTATCCTCATCATCCTCATAATCCTCCTCCTCATCCTTATCATCCTCATCCTCATCCTCCTCATCATCGTCATCCTCATCGTCATCCTCATCCTTATCATCCTAATCCTCATCATCCTCATCCTCATCCTCCCCCTTATCACCCTTATCCTCATCCTCATCATCCTCATCATCATCCTCATCCTCATCATCCTCATCCTCACTCTCAACATCATCCTCGTCATCCTCCTCCTCATCCTTATCATCATCCTCATCCTTATTATCTTCATCATCCTCATCATCCTCATCCTCATTGTCATCCTCATCCTAATCATCCTCCTCATCCTCATCCTCATCCCCCTTATCATCCTCATCCGCATCCTCACTCTCCTCATCATCATCATCCTTATGATCATCATCAACATCATCCTCATCCTTATCATCCTCATCCTCATCATCATCCTCCTCATCATCCTCCTCTTCATCCTCATCTTCATCCTCCTCATCCTCATCATCATCATCCTCATCATCGTCATCATCATCCTCATCCTCCCCCTTATCATCCTCATCCTCATCATCCTCACTCTCCTCCTCATCATCATCCTTATGATCATCCTCCTCATCGTCATCCTCATCCTCATCATCCTCATCCTCATCATCCTCATCCTTATCATCCTAATCCTCATCATCACCATCATCCTCTCCCTTATCATCCTCATCCTCATCATCCTCATCCTCCTCATCGTCATCCTCATCCTTATCATCCTCCTCCTCCTCATCCTTATCATCCTAATCCTCATCATCCTAATCCTCATCATCACCATCATCCTCTCCCTTATCATCCTCATCCTCATCATCATCATCATCATCATCCTCCTCATCCTCCTCATCCTCACTCTCCTCATCATCATCATCATCCTCGTCATCCTCCTCCTCATCCTTATCATCATCCTCATCCTTATTATCTTCATCATCCTCATCATCCTCATCCTCATTGTCATCCTCATCCTAATCATCATCATCATCCTCATCCTCATCCCCCTTATCATCATCATCCGCATCCTCCTCATCCTCACTCTCCTCCTCATCATCATCCTCACTCTCCTCATCATCATCCTTATGATCATCATCCACATCATCCTCATCCTCATCATCCTCATCCTCCTCTTCATCCTCATCCTCATCCTCATCATCCTCATCATCGTCATCATCATCCTCCTCATCCTCATCCTCATCCTCCTCCCCCTTATCATCATCATCCTCATCCTCCTCATCATCATCATCCTCCTTATCATCATCCTCATCCTCCTCCCCCTTATCATCCTCATCCTCATCCTCACTCTCCTCCTCATCATCATCCTTATGATCATCATCCACATCATCCTCATCCTCATCCTCCCCCTTATCATCCTCATCATCATCATCATCCTCATCCTCCTCATCCTCACTCTCCTCATCATCATCATCATCATCATCCTCGTCATCATCCTCCTCATCCTTATCCTTATTATCTTCATCATCCTCATTGTCATCCTCATCCTAATCATCCTCCTCATCCTCATCCTCATCCCCCTTATCATCCTCATCCGCATCCTCCTCATCCTCACTCTCCTCATCATCATCCTTATGATCATCATCCACATCATCATCATCATCCTCATCCCCCTTATCATCTTCATCCTCATCCTCCTCATCGTCCTCATCGTCATCATCATCCTCCTCATACTCCTCATTATCCTCATCCTCCTCATCCTCATCCTCCTCATCCTCCTCATTATCCTCCTTATCATCATCATCATCCTCCTCATCATCATCATCATCCTCATCTTCATCCTTATCCTCCTCATCCTCATCATCATCATCATCATCATCCTCTTCATCGTCATCCTCATCATCATCGTCATTCTCATCATCCTCATCCTCATCATCCTCCTCCTCCTCATCATCATCATCATCCTTATGATCATCATCCTTATGATCATCATCCACATCATCCTCATCCTCATCCTCCTCATCCTCATCCTCATCATCCTCATCATCATCCTCATCATCCTCATCGTCATCATCATCCTCCTCATCCTCATCATCATCATCATCCTCCTCATCATCATCCTCATCCTCCTCATCATCATCATCCTCATCATCATCATCCTCATCGTCATCATCATCCTCCTCATCATCCTCATCCTCCTCATCATCATGCTCATCCTCCTCATCATCATCCTCCTCTTCATCGTCATCCTCATCATCATCCTCATTCTCATCATCCTCATCATCCTTATCCTCATCATTCTTTTCCTCATCATCCTCATCCTCATCATCACATTCTTATTGCACCCTAGTCAAGCTCAAGATGCTAAACACCTTTTACCAATGTCAACAGATCAGTGTACAAGTAAATTGCATTCAAAGCTTCCTAGGAAGTATGATATTGTACTCAGAGCACAAACTGTGTCTTAAACTACTACCCAATTGTCAGAATCAATATTCAACATTTCAATTATTCAATAAAATATCTGGTCTTTATAAATCATTGCTGACATTTGTCATAGGACTATCATCCTCACCACTTGAAATAGAACCACAAAATATCACAATGATAAATTAACGAAGATAGCTGCATGTCTGCTTACACATATTAATTGAAAGTAGGCCATAAATTCCTAGCTATAAACATCATCTTTAAGTTTTGATCACGCATTTACAATCAGGGAAAAGATTGGCAGTCAGGAGACTGCAGGGGGTCATATTTATCAGTAAACTTTTCAAAGCAGTGAATAGCACTTTAAATAGTACATATGCACGTATTATTCTTTCAGTTCATGGTGGTAATGTGGGTAGGCTACAAACGCTGCTCAATATGGACTATACATAGTCACCTGCCTACTGGAGTTTCCCAAATTGTAACCAGGTGATCACATCTTATTTATGATGTTTATCGTAAGAAAAATGGATATTTCTTGTAAGACTCATTTTGCAATTTTTGTCATTACTGTAAGTAATATTCCTTAACGGCGGAAAGTCTTGTTTTCACCTTATCCCTCGTATCAACTTACGATTAACAAAAAATAGAATGAGCACGTGTACTTGACGTGTAACAACTACAATACAACTCAAGTATCATATTTTAGGTCACTTATCAATCGATACAAAAAAATGTTTATAATGGTGACACTTTATATTGTATGCAATTACTTGTAATACACTATTTTCTGTACAAGAGTTCTCAATGTATCTTTTCATTGATTAAATCAAAGAAACGAATAATATTTTGGTTTGGCTTTGTGTGACCTCTACTATTGCCGATATTAAAGCAATGTTAAGAGTTGGTGGCCACAAGACAATGGCACGTTACATGAGAAATACTGGTGTTGTTATCGGTGTGTTCACACTGAAAGCAGACAGGGGCTTGAACTGTTGGTTAAAGAGCCACAGTGCATACAAACCCGAGAGTGTTGATGATGAAACCTCTGTGACCCAGTACAGGTGATGCTGTATTAATAGCTCACCTGTGTGATCAAGTAGAGTGAAACTGTATTTATAGCTCACCTGTGTGACCCTGTACAGGTGATGCTGTATTTATAGCTCACCTGTGTGACCCAGTAGAGTAAAACTGTATTTAAAGCTCACCTGTGTGACCCAGTAGAATGGTACTGTATTTATAGCTCACCTGTGTGACCCAGTAGAGGTGATGCTGTATTTATAGCTCACCTCTGTGACCCAGTAGAGTGAAACTGTATTTATAGCTCACCTGTGTGACTCAGCAGAGTGATACTGTATTTATAGCTCACCTGTGTGACAGTAGATTGATACAGTATTTATAGCTCACCTGTGTGACCAAGTACAGTAGATACTGTATTTATAGCCCACCTGTGTGACAGTAGATTGATACAGTATTTATAGCTCACCTGTGTGACCCAGTACGGGTGATACTGTATTTATAGCTCACCTGTGTGACAGTAGATTGAAACAGTATTTATAGCTCACCTGTGTGACCCAGTACAGTGATACTGTATTTATAGCTCACCTGTGTGACAGTAGATTGATACAGTATTTATAGCTCACCCGTGTGACCCAGTACAGGTGATACTGTATTCATAGCTCACCTGTGTGGCATCAAACAGATGGAAGAGAGCAATCATTGGCAGAATTTGAATTATAAGGTCGATCACAGATCTGGAAGAAACAAACACTTAGTGTCAATACATGAATGAAAATGGCGTGAAGGAGCCTGCAGGTACCAGTATATTACGTATGTGACAATAAATCCTGGTAACTATTCATCACAATACACTATGTGCATCCTAATACAGCATACACAGGCCTATTGGCTCCAAATGAGAATGGTAAATATTACAATAACTCAAAATCAGTATTAGTCTATTAAATGTCAACATGCTACATGACTATGAATACCGGTACCCTGTACCCAACAATATCTGCTGTTTGCTATTTCTATTCCCATCACTGGAAAAACTATCGTGTTGTGTACAAGGTGACATCTTGAAAAGAGGGGGGCACAATGGTAGGAGGAAGAGCACAACAACGCACATGCTACACAATGGTACTGGGAATGACAGAATAAGAGGGGTCGTCTCATGATAGTTTTAAGCACAATCTGACTCGCTCATGTCACAGACCATAGCCCTTTTAGCCAGGTGTGCTACAAGCACAGACAAAGTAGTTTACTTACTTCTCATTAGTAAAAGCTAAGGGAATGACTCGTCGTAGTAAAAGCAACAGCAGTGCCACAAATAAAGCTAGGACCCCTGAAAGTAGACATGGTCAAGGTCAAGAACGTCAAGGTCAAGTATGAAAATATTTTCCAACTATACAGCACATATGGTCTATATACATTGTTAGATAATTAAGAGTGCTTTACATTTTATTGTAATTAACTGTAATTGGTCTAATTACGAAGAGTGATTGAAATGTTTTGAGCCTCACATAGAAAGACTTGACCTGGAGACATTAGAATGATTCATTTTTCAACATAATCCCCACATTGATACACTTTTGCCAACCATGTTGGAGGAATTTTATCCCAGTTTCGGAGAAGTCCTTCCCTTGGCTGTCCATAAGGTTCTCCACAGCTGCTATGACGTCATTCAGTTGATGGGATAGTCTTTGCCTTCTTTGGGGGTGGTGATGTGAAATGCTTCCATTGTTTTGATTTTTGTTTGGACTCACAAATAGTTTCACAAATAGTTGCCAGAACCTTTCTGGATGAGCTCTAAACAGAGCTACATTATCATGAGACATGTTGTGCCTGGTGCATTTTTTATCAGACGTTAGCTTTAGAACCCAATGAGCTGATACTTTCTTCAATGCCAAAGTTTCCTTGACAATGGAACATAATGTCTCCTGGAAAATGCTTTCTGAATTAGCAATATGACACCAGTCATTAGCCAGTTGGTCATCACCGTATTATGGATTCTGGTGCTGCTGACACAGGCCTTCCAGACAGGGGTCAACTCTGCTGCCCACCTCTTTATAGTGGCATAGGAAGGGGCATCCTTTCCTGGTGTTGTTTGTCCACTTTCCAAAGCTCACAGACCTCTGCTTTTCTTACTTTCTTGTCACAGAGAAGGATTTTGCTCAATTGACTCAATTTTTGTCATCAGAATACAATAAAAGATTTCACTCTTATGCAATCCCTTTTTTGTGGGGCTCAGAACTTACAGGTCAATCTTTTTTATCGCCAGTCAAAACATATATTAACTTTACAAAGGAGCAATACAGCATTCAATACTGATACAAATAACTTATACTTCAGGTTTTTTTCTTTAGATTGAAAACGTACACATGATGGAGATGGAGACATGGGCCGCTGTCATGGCTTCCATAGGGTTGCCCTCTCCAAGATGGTTGCCCACACGGACACTGGAAGCAACAGCCATTCCAAGTGCAAACTGAAAATACATTTATTACCACTTTTTTAGCTAGATCTTTTGTAGGCAGAACTGACGCTTTCCAAGATATACAGGGATATCCAACACTCACAAGGAACACCCAACACAAACCAGGAACATCCAAAACTCACCAGGAATATCCGACATTCACCAATAACATCCAACACTCACGAGGAACATCCAAAACTCACCTGGAACACCCAACACTCACCTGGAACACCCAACTCTCACCTGGAACACCCAACACTCACCTGGAACACCCAACACTCAACAGATATATCAGTCATTCACCAATAACATCCAACACTCACGAGGAACATCCAAAACTCACGAGGAACATCCAAAACTCACCTGGAACAGCCAACACTCACCTGGAACATCCGACACTCACCTGGAACATCCAACACTCACCAAGAACATCCAACACTCAACAGATATATCCGTCATTCACCAATAACATCAAACACTCACCAGGAACATATAACACTCACCTGGAACATCAAATGCTCAGCAGGAACATCCAACACTCACCTGGAACATCCAACACTCACCAAGAACATCCAACACTCAACAGATATATCCGTCATTCACCAATAACATCAAACACTCACCAGGAACATATAACACTCACCTGGAACATCAAATGCTCAGCAGGAACATCCAACACTCACCTGGAACATCCAACACTCACCAGATATATCCGACATTCACCAATAACATCAAACACGCACCTGGAACACCCAACACTCACCTGGAACATCCAACACTCACCAGATATATCCGACATTCACCAATAACATCAAACACTCACCTGGAACATCCAACACTCAACAGATATATCCGTCATTCACCAATAACATCAAACACTCACCAGGAACATATAACACTCACCTGGAACATCAAATGCTCAGCAGGAACATCCAACACTCACCTGGAACATCCAACACTCACCAGATATATCCGACATCCACCAATAACATCAAACACTCACCTGGAACACCCAACACTCACATGGTACATCCAACACTCACCAGATATATCCGACATTCACCAATAACATCAAACACTCACCTGGAACACCCAACACTCACCTGGAACACCCAACACTGGCCTGGAACATCCAACACTCACCAGATATATCCGACATTCACCAATAACATCAAACACTCACCTGGAACACCCAACACTCACCTGGAACACCCAACACTCACCAGATATATCCGACATTCACCAATAACATCAAACACTCACCTGGAACACCCAACACTCACCTGGAACACCCAACGCTCACCTGGAACACCCAACACTCACCTGGAACACCCAACACTCGCCAAGAACATCAAACACTCACCACGAACATCCAACACTCACGTGGAACATCCAACACTCACCTGGAACATCCAACACTCACCAGATATATCCGACATTCACCAATAACATCAAACACTCACCTGGAACACCCAACACTCACCTGGAACACCCAACACTCACCTGGAACATCCAACACTCACCAGGAACACCCAACACTCACCTGGAACACCCAACACTCACCAAGAACATCCAACACTCACCTGGAACATCCAACACTCAACTGGAACATCCAACACTCACCAAGAACATCCAACACTCAACAGATATATCCGACATTCACCAATAACATCAAACACTCACCTGGAACACCCAACACTCACCAGGAACATCGAACACTCGCCTGGAACATCCAACACTCACCTGGAACATCCAACACTCACCAGATATATCCGACGTTCATCAATAACATCAAACACTCACCTGGAACATCCAACACTCACCAGATATATCCGACATTCACCAATAACATCAAACACTCACCTGGAACACCCAACACTCACCTGGAACATCCAACACTCACCTGGAACACCCAACACTCACCTGGAACACCCAACACTCACCAAGAACATCCAACACTCACCACAAACATCCAACACTCACGTGGAACATCCAACACTCACCAGATATATCCGACGTTCATCAATAACATCAAACACTCACCTGGAACATCCAACACTCACCAGATATATCCGACATTCACCAATAACATCAAACACTCACCTGGAACACCCAACACTCACCTGGAACATCCAACACTGGCCTGGAACATCCAACACTCACCAGATATATCCGACATTCACCAATAACATCCAACACTCATCAGGGACACCCAACATTCACCTGGAACATCCAACACTCACCTGGAACATCCAACACTCACCAGATATATCCGACATTCACCAATAACATCCAACACTCACCAGGAACATCCAATCTCTCACCTGGAACATCATATGCTCAACAGGAACATTCAACACTCACATGGAACATCATATGCTCAACAGGAACATCCAACACTCACCTGGAACATCATATGCTCAACAAGAACATTCAAGACTCACCTGGAACATCATATGCTCAACAGGAACATCCAACACTCACCTGGCACATCATATGCTCAACAAGAACATTCAACACTCACCTGGAACATCATATGCTCAACAGGAACATCCAACACTCACCTGGAGCACCCAACACTCATCATGAACATCCAACACTCACCTGGAACATCATATGCTCAACAGGAACATTCATCACTCACCTCGAGCACCCAACACTCATCAGGAACATCCAACACTCACCAGCAACTCCTAACACAAATCAGAAACATCCAACACTCACCAGGAACATCCAACGCTCACCAAGAAAATCCAACACTCACCTGGGACACCCACCCAATCCTCACCAGGAACAGTCACCATGTACCAGGAACATGAAACGCTCATCATTATGCTCAACACTCACCATGGACACACAACACTCATCATGACACTTAATTCTCACCATGAACATGATGACGGACAGCTGGAACACTATCGAATGAGTTGCAAGTTCCACACCACTCAGCAGACCTGCAAAGAGATACATGCTTCAAAACTAGCACAGTCTGGGAGAACCAGTTTCGTGATAACAAAATATACTACTGTTTGATTATTGTTTAACGCCGCACTCAGCAATATTTCAGTTATATGACGGCGGTCTGAAAGTAATCAAGTCTGGACCAGATGATCCAGTGATTAACATCATGAGCACCAATCTACACAATTGGGATACGATGACATGCATCACCCAAGTCAGCGAGTCTGTCCACCAGATCCTATTAGTCGCCTCTTATGACAAGCATAGTCGCCTTTTACAGCAAGCAAGGGTTGCTGAAACTATTCTACCCCGGATCTTAACGGGTGGTACCCTACAGAAACAATTTCTCAAAACCATCATTCATGTGACTTAAGCATTTACTTGAACTGCACTTTCTGTGTTCAATCTAGTTCCAGTTACATCATTTAGTCTGAAACTAAAATACAAGGCAAACAAGACTATCTTACTATATTTCAAAGGCATTGAGTTTACTACACTTGGCAGAGCAAGCACCTGCATGGCATGACGAAAGCCCATTACGTTCATGAGGGGGAAAATGCATTGATAAAATATACAAGCGCTCTCAAGTGGCCAAAGTGTTCCCTTTATCTATAGTACTCAGAACGTACAGACAGCAGAGAGACAAAGATAAATTCAAATTCAGCATTAAAAGTTTCTATGAATTTGAATTTACTGATATCACTTTAACTTGTCATTACACTGAGGATTTCCAGATAGGAACATTGAAGCATGCACTCAACACAAAAAATGACCCTATAAATCCATTTCTTGAAGCTGTCTGAGCACTGCCTAACGTTCTCCCAGCAAGACAATGATTGGCTACCAACCTGCCAAGATCACCACAATCTCCAAGCACCACAATTTAAGCTACCAACCTGCCAAGATCACCACAATCTCCAAGCACCACAATGCCAGCTACCAACCTGCCAAGATCACAACAATCTCCAAGGACCACAATGCTAGCTACCAACCTGCCAAGATCACAACAATCTCGAAGCACCACCACTCCAGACACATCATGAAAAGTCCAGGAAGTGCCAGGCTGAAGAATACTTTCCACTCTGACAGACACTGCACCGACCAACCTGAAACATCCAATCAGTCAGTGTGAATGATCATAGTGTGTCATATCTACAGACAGATACAAACCATAAGGGTAAGGATATCACTGCAATTATTCTTGGTAATTACCAGTGAAAATAATATTTGTTTGCTTTGTGCCAATTGGCTAGTTCAGATAAAATGTTTTATTTACTTCATTGTTTGAAAAGCAGCCCATAGCAACACATCATCATGTCAATGCATATGCTCTATCTAGCTGTCTAACCAGACTAGGTGCCCTGCTCTATCTAGCTGTCTTACCACACTAGGTGTCCTGCTCTATCTAGCTGTCTTACCAGGCTAGGTGTCCTGCTCTATCTAGCTGTCTTACCAGACTAGGTGTCCTGCTCTATCTAGCTGTCTTACCAGACTAGGTGTCCTGCTCTATCTAGCTGTCTTACCAGACTAGGTGTCCTGCTCTATCTAGCTGTCTTACCAGACTAGGTGTCCTGCTCTATGTAGCTGTCTTACCAGACTAGGTGTCCTGCTCTATCTAGCTGTCTTACCAGACTAGGTGTCCTGCTCTATCTAGCTGTCTTACCAGGCTAGGTGTCCTGCTCTATCTAGCTGTCTTACCAGACTAGGTGTCCTGCTCTATCTAGCTCTCTTACCAGGCTAGGTGTCCTGCTCTATCTAGCGGTCTTACCAAACCAGGTGTCCTGCTCTATCTAGCAGTCTTACCAAACCAGGTGTCCTGCTCTATCTAGCAGTCTTACCAAACCAGGTGTCCTGCTCTATCTAGCAGTCTTACCAAACCAGGTGTCCTGCTCTATCTAGCAGTCTTACCAAACCAGGTGTCCTGCTCTATCTAGCAGTCTTACCAAACCAGGTGTCCTGCTCTATCTAGCTGTCTTACCAGACTAGGTTTCCTGCTCTATCTTGATGACTAACCCGGGTAACTGTCCTGATAGATCTTGATGACTTACCAGACTAGGTTTCCTGCTCTATCTTGATGACTAACCCGGGTAACTGTCCTGATAGATCTTGATGACTTACCAGACCAGGTGTCCTGATAGATCTTGCTGGCTTTGATGTACCCAACATGGAGAAATACCACTGCCCAGAAACTAAGGCCAATAGCCAAACTTGCTCCTCTGAAAGAAATTGGTCTCTTATCAAAATCAGAATAAGAAGTCGTCAATAGTCCACACCCAACCCATACCCATTTTTTTAATATGTTTATGAAATCTCCAAATGTAAAGTACATATACACTGAACAAAAAAAGTGGAGCATTTTGGCTGATATTTTATTGTGAAGAATGGGCACCCAATTTCATAAGAATATTCCCAAAAATATTCATGATTCCTAACTTTCTTGTCCAGTAGAAGTAATACTAGGATTTATCCAGGATTCAAAACTAAGTGCCCATGGCAGGCAAAGTGGATAAAAAAATCAGTATTTTGGTGGGGACACCTAATTTTCCTGTTAGCTAGTAAAGGCAAAGACAGGTAACATGCAACCTTGGATGACTTACAAAATGTGTAACAGAATCCTTAAAGAAAAGAGGTCAATGCAGCTGGCATACACAAGGCAGAACATGATTGTTACTTACAGCAACTCCATCTTGAGCCAGAACAGGAAGAGGGCAAGAAGAGCAGCATTGAGGAGGTTCCCGGCGAGGAGGATCAGACACGAGGGGATCACAACACTCTGTAACAAATACAACATAGTAACAACCACACAAAAGTGTAACACACACAACACTGTAACAACCACAAAACTGTAACACACCCAACACTGTAACAACCACACAACACACACAAATGATAACCATACTACAACATGACACAGAAATTGTACCAACCATGCAACACTATAACACACATAAACTGTGATAACCACACTATAAATACAATGTAACGCACATTGTATCAATCATACAACATTGAAACACACACATTGTACACACAATGCTGTTGTAACAAACACATATTTTGCAACAAACACACATAATGATAACAACCATACCACATTGTAACAACCATACAACACTGTCACAACATACAACATTGTTACAACCACACAACACTGTCACAACCATACAACATTGTAACAACCATACAACACTGTCACAACCATACAAGACTAACAAACATTGTAACATCCATACAACACTGTTGTGTCGCACTCACCAATATTCCACCTATATGACGGCGGTCTGTAAATAATCAACAATACAGACAATCCAGTGACTGATATCGTGAGCATCCAAGTCAGCGAGCCTGACCACCCAATCCCGTTAGTCGCCTCTTATTCTACCCTGGATCTTCACGGGTCGTAACACAATATGTAACAACCATAAAACAATGTTATAAACATTGTAACAACCATACAACACTGTGACAACCATACAACACTGTAACAACCATACAGCACTAGAACAACCATACAACACTGTAACAACCATACAACACTGTAACAACCATACAGCACTAGAACAACCATACAGCACTATAACAACCATACAGCACTAGAACAACCTTACGGCTCTGTAACAACCATACAACACTGTGACAACCATACAACACTGTAACAACCATACAGCACTATAACAACCATACAGCACTAGAACAACCTTACAGCTCTGTAACAACCATACAACACTGTGACAACCATACAGCTCTGTAACAAATACGACACTCTAACAACCATACAACACAATAACAAACACAAAACATTGTAACAATGAATAAATAAATATTGCTTTATGACACATTCCAGTAATATGACAGCTATTAATGGCAAGATATTGTAACTAACACACAACAGTAACATTCTGCCATATGATGTTGGGATATGCTCCGTAACAACCTTTCAATATGAGGAGGAAACTGAACATACAGCTGGAGCCAAGGCTTGTAATCTGACAACTTAGTTCAAGGATATATGGATTCTCTTTTCCTGAATTATCAGCTAAAGTTAATCAAGGAACTTATCTCTTAACAAATATCATTTTTGGCAGTGACATTTGATAAAATGGTCGACAAACATGATAAAAATATTTGTCTTACCTGGGCCTGGAGGTACTTGCTTAACACACAATACAGTGCATTTGCCTGAAAACAAAGACCACAGTAAATTGATGGAGTGTCTCCTTTGCTGTTTAATGCCACAGTCAGCAATAATCCAGCTGTATGATGGCGACCTGTAAATTATTGAGTCTGGACCAGGCAATCCAATTACTGAGATGAAGAGCGAGCAATAATCAATGCTATCAAGGTATGATGACATGCTAACAACCAAGTCACACAGCCTGTTCACCCAATCCATTAAGAAGCCTCTTAACTTTTTTCTATACACACCCAGACGTTGAATTAAAGTGAGTGAGTTTGATTTTACGCCGCTTTTAGCAATATTCTAGCAATATCACGGCGGGGGACACCCAAAATGGGCTTCACACATTGTACCCATGTCGGGAATCGAACCCGGGTCTTCGGCGTGACAAGGGAACGCTTTAACCACTACTCAACAGCCCCTCTTTGCATTAAAGCAAAAAGTTATCTAATGAACATCATAACTGTAAGACAATAAAAAAAAAAAACATTCCTTGACATACTTCATTCAAATTGTGACACAGTTACATTAGGAAATATGTCATTTCTAGATGATAGCATTAGTGAGTGGCCGAATGCAGTCAGCTATATTTCACAGTTTGTTGTTTAATGCTTCACTCAGCAATATTCTAAATATAGATAGCAGCCCATTTAAATCTGGACCAGACAAACCAGTGATTGATATTATGAGCAACAATCCATGCCTTCAGGGTACAATGACATGCAATCAACCAAATCCATGGTTGAAACCACGAGCAACAATCATTGTTGTTAGGGCATAAAGCCATACATCATCGCTAGCAAACCCAAGTTTAGTCAACATATAGGAGGTACTTGGGACCTGTTCTTCACTGGAGCACCAATGGGGAAGTTAACATCAGTCAACGGCAGGACGATCTTCTCACTTTAGGTTAACCTAATCAATAATAATGATAATAATAATGGACCAAGTGAATAATCATGGCATTACATCATTATTACCCCAGTTTATGGAACAGAGTGCACATTCATTCTCAGCTCCCTGGGGAGTATACAAGATAATGCTAATGATGACACAAACTCTAGGAAACACACTTACTGGGAGAATTGGAATATAGCACAGTGCAAATTGTCCAGCCAGGCTGAAAGACGTGAGAAAAATCAATTCAAATATATTATCAGAGCAGAGAATACAGCTTTACATGAAATAAAACAAGAAAAGTATTTTCAAGTACCACTTTCATTGCAATTTCTAGATTTCCACAGAAATCATAACATACCAGTATGCATTTCCAGTTTCACCAGTTTGGTGAAATGCATTCCTCACAGCAGATTTAAGTACCTTGTCTAAAATGCCTTTTACACTGTAAAACATCACTTCAAGCCTAATGACATCTCTCCAAATCTGCTGACAACACTCTTGGTTTGCGGTCTATATTGCAAGACAACTAAAAAACAGAAAGTTCTAGGCCTCCAGCTACCTTAAAAATAAAGTTATACACACTTCCGATTAAATGACATCACTTCTGTCTGGGCAAAATATGTGTCTAATACAAGACAACTGAAAACAGAAAGTAACATGCCTGTCGCTACCCGTTATCAAAACAGCTCTCTGTTTTCATAGTTGCTGAGAAAATACTCAAATGAACCAAGTCACCAAGCCTGACCACTCGATCCATTTTATTGCTTGTTACGACATGCAGAGGTTACTGGAGACATTTATTCTAACCTAGAATCGCCACAGGTTACAAACAGGCAAACCCTGTGCTACCCCCGACTTGGAAAGCAGCACTGACAACATACTTACTTGGCCACCACAGGGTCCTGTCCAGTGGCCAGGAGAACATGTTCAACATTGATGAAGATGGCCCAGCATGGTATACACAGCAGCAACAAGACAACCAGGGCTGGAAGTAACAACACATACGTCACAATAGGGACATTGATACATTGCATACTGTGGAACATTTGGCTTTTCTTGTCCAACAAAACGTTTGTCTCATTACGTGACCTGATAAAATTAACATTTTCTGGGGTACATGCCGATTTTGAGAATCACCACTAGAAAATAAATGGTTTGGTAACACCAGGCTTTTTTCGACTTAGGGCAGTTAAAACTAAAATGCCTGAAAACTGACAGATTCAAGACCACCACTAATGAAAATCAGGAAAATCTATCAGGTCACAAGATGAGATAATTAAGTTGAAAAGATAGGTCAAGTATCCTCTTCACATATCCTCAGGACTATCCCCACAAAAAAACTGTGGCATAAAATAACCCAAGGGATTCCATTGAGGAGCAGTTTCAAAAAGTTCCAGGACAATGGTTCCTGTTGCCCTCGCAGCAAAAGATACTGAGTAGTTCCTGTTGCCATTGTAGCAAGAGAGACTCAATAGTGTCTGTTGCCATGGTTGCAAGACTCATTAGTTCCTGTTGCCATGGTAGCAAGAAAGATTCAAAAGGTTTTGTTAGCATAGTTGCAAGAGAGACTGAACAGTTTCTGTTGCTGTGGTAGCAAGACAGGCTCAATAGCTTTTGTTCCCATGGTAAAAATAAAACTTGATTTCCTTGGGAAATGATCATGGCTAGTCTTTAAATTAACAAAAAAACTTTAAAAACTATAATCAAACAACCCTGGTAAGTATTTGCCACATAAACATGCCAAAACTGTTATTAATTAAGGCCATAGTTTTGAGGTCACAGATAACAATAATTGGCATAATCCTTCAAATCTGCCAATTACTGACCCTTTAAGATAGAAAAAATATTGACCCAATCAAATACCAGCAGTATTTGTGTGCAAATAATCCTGTCAAGATTATATTTGCAGGTATGTGCTGGGATATTGCGTGAATCTCGTCATCACATGGTCAAGATGTATCACTGTAATTATCATATGGTATGTGTCGTAATGGTCATGTAGTAAATTATTATCTGATAATGGTCCTACTCACCTTTTTGTAAAACAATACCAAGATTTCTTCTGTTGGAGCTGCCATAAATCTGAAGAATATTAAAACAAAATGATGTGGAAGTGTCTGAGAACATACAGGAACAAGTCTGTAAGTCCAAATCCAAATTCATGATGGTCACGGGATCAAGAGAACTGTACATTTCAAACAACTACCTGAATCTAAAGACTCGTTTCCACTCTGATGAACTGAATAAGAACAGTTTCATTATGAAGCATTACATACTCCAGTTATATAGCCTTTCCAATGCAATCTCACAACAACTGGACAGTGTAAATCTGCAATGACATACGATTGCTTTCACTTTTATAAGTAAGGTAGCAAACAGGGAGTGTCTTCTTAAAACACTTCAGTCGGGTATTCTATTCATTGTATAACAGTTCTAACTTTATAGCCAATTATAAGGAAAGTAGAACAAATAAAAAATATAGACACTGCTTTTACGTTCACTTAAGAAAGTTATTTCTAATGTATGAAACTCATTGTGTAAATCATGCATACAGGACAAGATACAAGTTATTACAACAAAAGGCACTCTTATATTTCTCTAAAATACCAAATTGTGTATAGTGAGTGAGTGAGCGAGGAGGGAGTGAGTGAGTTGGGTTTAACGCCGCTTTTGACAGTATTCCAGTCATATCGTGGCGTGTCAGCTTAATGTGGGAGGAAAGCCCGAAGTGATGCAGGTCTCAGACGTTTACCACTTCCATGAAACCCACGAGCACGGGTATGGTGCTGACAAACCTAAAAACATAATCAGAGCAAACCGGGATTTGAACCCACAATCATAGGTTTCTGGCGTGACCAAGGGACGCAACTCTGCACAGTGAATCGCGGCGCCTTAGATGACTGGGCCACCCGTCCCCCCAAATTGTGTATAGTCTAAAAAGAGTGATATAAATATAGGTAGGCTATGCTGAGTTTTATTAATCATGTCAATTAGTGTTTCCCGTCATTCCTCCTGACCTGAGGGAAGAGAGTATCACAAGCTGATGCTAGTCCAGCCATGACAGACAGCCCAGTCACATTGGTCATCTGGAAATACATCAACCACAGATTCATCTAGGATTCTACACAAAGTGCCCTTGGCAGGCAAATTAGGGAAAATCATTATTTTGTTCAAAATTGGGATTTTTTTAATGTTCCTATTTTCCTAAATTCTGATGTATTGTTTTAATGCATTCAGTTTGGTTTTACCCTGCTTTTAGCACGATTGCTGCAACATCACGGCAGGGAAAACCAGAAATGGGCTTCACATACTGAACCCATGTCGGGAATCGAACCCAGGTCTTCGGCGTGGCAAGCGAACACTTTAACCACTAGGCTCTCATGAAAATACACACTCCTTTCCAACTCTTTGTAGATGCAACTATTACTGAATTAATCCATATTAATTAGTTAAGATATGATGAGCAGACACAAATGATGCAATTAGAGGTGAACTCACTGTTAGGCCAAGAGCTGCCGCATCCAGCTGAAGCTGACCAAGATGGCCAACAAACATGGAGGTGACGAGGAACAGCAACTGCTGGAAGAAGGTGGTCACAGTCTGGAATGAAAAGTCAAAGAAAATAAGATGACAGGGTTCGAAGTTCCTTCTATTACAGTGCCGATGCCACAATTGTAAAGTTTACAATAAATTCTATATTTATATACTTGTCCTATCTCACACTATACATTTCTCAATCTACTTTAGATCCTAAGTGGTAACATGCCTAAAAAAAGTTCCCAGCTTCTAAACAAAACAATTCACCCGAACACATCCTACATCAATCCACTCATGCAGCCACAGAGGCTTTCTGCTGAAATTACATTATGTGTTCATGTACATTATTTGGCACCCATAAAACAGCTACAAGGTGATATTTATCATCCATTAAGGAGATATTCCATGCTCAATAATTCTTCTAAGTAAAACATAAACAATGTATGTTTCATGTATTTCTGTTATCAATGTGTTATATCTACTACTCAAGAGAAGTTCAAGAGAAGCAGATTCTTTCATGGCATGACAGAGTAACTCAGTAATATGAAAGAATCTGGTGTTCTTAAACCTGACACAGCACATAAGGAACAAATATGATTTATTATATGCAAAACTGGGTGCCTCATATCTTGAATATGGTAATACAATCCATCACAATGTGTTTCTGACTATTACCTTACATACACATTAAACGTGCATACAAAACACTTACAATTGGCCATGCTATGGCGATTAGACTCTTGAATTCTTTCTTATATCCTAGTGGGAAGAGGCGTCTATAAAGTCGTCCAAAACAATCACAGCCACATCTTGACTTGAACCAGCTCAAATATTTGGGTCCTGAAATATATTCTGTACATAAAACAACATTGTTCATATATAGCCTAGGCTAACATTCAGACTTAAACAAAATGATAATTGCATGAACACAGTGAAAGGGATAAATGGCCACATTTTCACTTTTGTAAAGTAGGCTTACCATGTTGACTCATTCATGGAAATCATAGTGTTATTTAAAGTTTTATAGATTTTATATCATAAATTTATATTATCAACAAAGCAGACACATGAAACATGAAATATGGTTCACACAATTTTTTAGCAACATTCATCATCTTCATGCATATTCAAAGTCTAAACCACTTTCAAGGCCTCGAAAGCCAGAATGTCGCTCAAAAGTCCTGTGCATGGTTAACAATTCTAGTCTACGAGCCAAACTGTTCATGCATGAAAAAAGGAAAAAAACAATAAATTGAGCTTCATGAATACAAATATTAAAGACTGCATGTCTGCAAGTGTTTCATCAGAGACCTATAATATGGTCTGTGGTTTCATTAATGAGCATCCTTGGTGTGCTTGAAATGAGTGGGCATGTTTTCACAAAGGCGACATGCGACCATTTAAATCATAAACATATCACACTTAAAAATCATCGTGTTTCTCTCTTAAGGAATACTTCCGAAAGAGTTACGGGCCTATAAGTCGATCTGCTGAATGAACTGGATAAATAAATCAAAATGATGACGATTTAAGGTTGTATTATACACTTATTCTCAATAATGTATTTCTACCGGTAATAATCTGGAATCTGTAAAAACGACACAAAGGTATCTTATTTTAAAATTTTCAGCTTATTAAACCGCATTAATTATGAATGAAACAAGCGATAGTGACCCCGATCGGCGAAGGAATAAAGCGTGGTTGATCCATGCAAGAAGGCAACGTCGCTTCCTGGGGATGACACCATAGACAGTGGTTCGCACATGACACCATCGTCGGCGATGTCGTCCATTTCACCCACACAACCTCACGGCTGAAACCTTTTGACAGGTACGCATTGAAGCTCTCTGCGACGTTGTGGGCGATACGGTTGGTGAGTGTACAAAGCGACGCCATGAATCTTTGCGTGGAGCTCAAAGGTACCTTTTTCACCTTCATATTAAAGAGTTATATAAGCGCGCGTAAAATGTCTATTAAAGAAACCTGTACATGATGTCTCCATCGTCATATTGAAATCAAGGCATTATCTAATGATTGTTTTCTGTGCCTTAAGTTCCGTTGTTGGAAGAATGTAGATGGTGGTTACAATGAGTGCCTTGTTTGTGTTATCGTACAACATGCGTGAGAATACATATCACCAACAACCAATTTGAGTGAGTGAGCGAGTATGGTTTTACGCCGCTTTTAGCAATATTCCAGGAATATCACGGCTTCAGACTACATTGTACCCATGCGGGTAATCGAACCTGGGTCTTCGTCGTGGCGAGCGAACACTTTAACCACTAGGCTTCCCCACCGCCCACCACAACAAGGCCGTAGTTAACTTTTTTTGACAGGGAGGGCAAATGTTTGTACAAGTATCACTTGTCCCCAACTTGATTCAAATAAAGCTGTTTTCTATAAAAAAAAAAAAATTAAAAAAAATCCAGGGGGGGCAACTGCGATTAAAATCAGGTCACCGCGTTGTATTTGAAATATTGCTGATTTAAAATAATTCGCTGCCTTCAGTTTCATTTCTTACATATGTACCATTTGGAAGCAGCTTGCCGAATTTGTCCAGAGGTTTCACTACGTGAACTGTACTTACAGCATGTGGTGTACAGAACAGTATACGTGTGAAAATGAACAATGAGTATGTGAACAAAAACATGGTGTTGAAGCAAGAATTGTTTGCATTTGTACAGAAGGGAAACAAAGCCTACAATTGTATATGTTGACAAACATTATGTGTTTGGAAATATGTGTGTATACAATTTGTACTTTTGTATGAAATTGATAAAATATGTATTACTGCAATTTAGAAGTGTTCCATATCATTGTGAAGGTCTGTAAAACATTCTTTTTTAAGGGGGGGGGGGGGGGTTATGAGTGACGTTGTATATTTGTGTGGTTCACAAGGGGTCCAGTTTGGGTGGACGGCGTCATGCTTGATTGAGTGAAGCAAGCTGCCTGACGGGGAGAAGCGTGCTTGTGGGGTGATTGGAGTTTGAGTTGGCTTGATAACTGATTGGTGTGGGCCGATCAAACGTTTCTTGTGTGCTGAAGTAGATAGCTTACTTGGAAATTTGTTTACTATATGAGGGCAAGTTATCGAACAGAAAGGGGGAAGGAAAAAGAATTGGAGAGGGAGAAATATGGTTTAACTGAACGAGGGCAGTTCAGCCCAGCGTTATGTCCGGAGAAAAAGTTAGAAGGTCATGTCGACGCTTCAAAGGAGGAAACTGTTGTTACCCAGTTATCCTGTGAACTGTGATATATAAGTTTGGAACAATGTGAAATGGAATTCATTGGGAATGTGATGTCAAGAAATCTGAGGTGACTATTATCTATAATGCACATTTGCCATATTGCTTTGCCTAAATAGATGTGTATGAGTGCCTTGCCCAGTAACTGAGAATTGTTATATACTTATCTTTGTTTTAATTATTAAATCTAGCTTTAAACTTCAGAGATTGTTGTGTGATTCTTGTAATTGTTATTTGTGGTATTAGCGGGAACCCCTGCCGTTCATACCACACGTAAAAACTTGAGAGAGGAATATTTTTTATTCAAAGATTTCATTGTAGCAAGTGAGTAGCATGCTCACGTACATTACATTGATATAACTTTTGTGATGTAGTTATTTTTATACTTATGTTCTAAGGATCATTCATAGAATGCTTTTTGTCGAAATCGTGAACTTTCCAAAGGTCATTATATTCAATATTCAATGTCAAAACATAAAATAAAATTTATAAAGCTGTGGCTAGTATCTAATAGCACGTTATGGTATTTTATCATACATAGTTTCTCAATCCCAGACCATTTTAATAAGTGAGGTGTGGTGAAATTGGGTTAAATAATATTGCACTTCTATACATGGTATGACGCAGCCGGGGATCGAATCGGATCTACCACTGGACCACGGAGGTCGTCAACGAGGTTATTGATGTTGTGGCTTTAAAACAAGTCTCAACCAAGACACAACATGCAGTGTATAGCGTCATTGCATTAAATACGTATTGCATGGCACGAGGCCCTTCCTTTTCAAATATGCTGTATATCCTAAATAGGGGGTGGATACAGCCATATATTTCAAAATAACTTTGAAGAAAACAAAAATATTGCTGAAGCGGGTTTTTTTGGAAAATTTGAAATTTCGAGTTTGTGTAAATTTTAGATTAATAATAATAATAATAATGTTTTGAAATTTCGAGTTTGTTTAAATTTTAGAAAAATAATAATAATAATAATAATGTTTTTAGGAAGACTTTGGGGTCAAATTTCAACCCAGGTAACCTCAATTTCCTTGTTTAATCCCTATAATGCGACAGGCAGGGTAACAACAAGTACCATCTTTTAACGTCTTTTGGTATGACACTGTCGGAGGGGGGTCGACCTTCCGCTCTCCGGTAGACGTTCTACCCATTAGGCTACAGACATGGTCTCCTCGGGAAAAGAACTTACCTTCCTCATCTTCAGAACCAATGACATCCGCCGAGTGAGTTGACTTCTGGCAATTTGACTTAAGTTCAGAGTTGACATTGACTTCGTTGTCGACGGAGTTGTTTTCATTTTCATCTTTTACGTCTTTTAAGAGAAGTGAATCGAGTGTGCCGTAGTTTGGTGGCGGTTCCCGGAGAGCTCTATCTGCAGGCATGTCGAAGGACTAATGAAAATGTTTTTGATAACAAATATGTATTCTGAATTCATTATATTCAGTAATATAACAGTTCTTTCCCTTATTGTTAAATACATGAGATAATTCCAAGCTGTTTCCACAAAATAACGTCTCCTTTATTGGCTTTTTACCATTCTAACAAAGGTTTACGGCTGACTGACTTTTATATATGCATATGCAACATATCTCAACAGCTCTTAGCGTAAACACACATTGTTATACTGCTGATATATGAAGTTGGTGATGCGCATAATCAATTTTCATAATACATTTGGAGCAGTTGAACTGAATATTCATAAAATGTATACACATACCGCTCAATTATTTCGAGTTATTTACCATGTGACAAGTACATATTTCTACAACAGTCTGATCCGGGGTAACTATGAAACCTTGGAAGTCAGTGAATTAACGTGTAATTAACAGTGGAAATGTATATTTAGAATAGGAATAGCTCGTGAAGACTGACAAAATAACATAAAGTATGCGATTCAAGCTCCACACTCTAGATTTTATCTTGTATTCCACTATGTTAAACTTTAAGACCATGGTAGGGTGGGCTGATGGTGGTGCTCCCCCTCCCCCAATTTCATTTTTCAAAAATGATGTTTACGTATTAAAAAACATATCTATATCATTTGATAACATGGTTTCAACAAAAGTAACGATTAGCTGACTAATGTTTCGCTTAGAAGCGCATATTGTTTCCCAAATTTATGTTTTTCGAGTTAAGTGCCCACCTTTCCGAAAAACTGTTTCCGTGCTGGAATGCTGTCCACCCTGCGTCTGTTGGACAATCTGGTGCACCTGCCGCTTCAGCTATGACCAACCATGATGACTTAACAGAAGAAAGGTGTGTGTAGCTAGTTATATTACCAAGACCTGTGATTCTACGAGCAGTACACAACCGAATACACTGAATAATATATGTTAATTGATTTCACTTCCCGTTGGATACATCCTAACAGATGTTGAGGAAATCTTCACTGATACCAGGGGTGACTGAAACGTTCTGGGTTACCTACGAAGGATGTATTGTGCACCCTTAAAAGTTTGCATGTATTAAGTATTACTGTCCATGCTTACGGGCTAAAAGGGTTAAATCCAAGAGACAGCCTTGCGGACATGATGTCAACTTTAGGGGATGGCGTTCCTTCTCTTGCCACTCTTTAGAGCTGCGAAGATGATTTGAGATCAGGACGATCTTCATCTGTTACCACTAAGTGAGTGAGTGACTGCGTGAGTTGGGTTAACGCCGCTTTTAACATTATTCCAGTTATATCATGGCGTGTCAGCTGAATGCGGGAGGAAAGCCCGAAGTGATGCAGGTCTCTGACGTTTACCACGAGCACGGGTATTGTGCTGACAAACCTTGAAACATACTCGGGGCGAACCGGGATTCGAACCCACAATCATAGGTTTCTGGCGTGCCCAAGGGACGCATCTCTGCACAGCGAATCGGGGCGCCTCAGACGACTGGGCCACCCGTGCCCCCGTTACCACTAAGGAAAATGTTGAGATGACTCACATAGCCAATACAGTAGACATGTCTCATGAAAGAGTTGAGAACATTCTGAGGAATGAACCGGCATGACTAATGGTTTTGGAAAGCTGGGTTCCAAGGTTTCTGAATCCTGATCAGAAATGCTCAAGATCTCGAGAGGAAATTTACGTCATTTTGAAGTAGACCCAGCTATTTTTGTTGATTTGTTTGTAACCATTGATGAGCGTTGGGTTCACCACTATTACCCAAAGATCAAACAACAGTCAAAGCAGTGGAAAAAATTCAAACGAAGAAGTCAAAGTCTATTTCATTAGCTGCCAGTGTGATGGCTTTGGGTTTCTGGGATTCCAAAGAAATCCTACTGGTGGATTACCTCCTGAAAGGTTAGTGCATTGATGTCCAATCCTATGCTAATCTGCTAAGGTAACTGTGAAAATAGCAAGGCTAAAATCGTGGAACACTTACTGAAGGTGTGTTGTTCCATGAGGACAATGCACTTGTGCACAGCCTATTGTCGTCATGCAAGACTGTGGCTTCACAATCATTGAACATGATTCATATTCACCAGATTTAGCACGGTCAGATTTCCACCTTTTCTCAAACTTGAAGAAAGAACAGTCTAGCAAGCGCAGTGCAAGATGACATCATTTCTGCTGTGGAAGCTTCATTGGCAGAGATATGTTGAAAAATATAACTCCATCAACCCAGTCAGTCATAGTAAGGCCCCCCTTGTACATTCCTAATCAGTTGCTCATTGACAGTAATCAGGCGCACTGTGAGATGTTTGCAGATTAATCCACAGATTTTGGGGTACCCTGTTCTTTGGCAGATAGCAACATATTTCTTTAATCATGTGATGTACAGTTAACAAGCTTATGTCTAAAACAGCATTACATAATCATATTCATAAAGGTGATTGATTTCAAGATGATACTTCAGGATAGCAAAGAGCATGAAAGGGTACTTATTGCGATGTTGCATTGATGTGGCACTGGGAAGGGCAATAGCTATTGTGTCCTTGAGGTAAATGTATTTTGATGGTGTACCGGTAAGTATATGGAAGATATGACCAGTCTGTTTTATAATATTAAAATGCAACAAACGTCTGTCATTGGGTGCTGGCTAAAGCATTGGGTGCCAAAACCTCTACTGTCATCAATCAAACATGCAAACTCTACATCTAATTGATCCACATTTTAACCTTATTGTGCACCAGAATGAGTGAGAGTTAATGTTGATAACACTGCATTCAGTAATATCCCAGCTACACCATGGTGAGTTATAAGGAATCGAATCTGGACCAGACAAACCAGTGGCTGATATTATGAGGAAGGTTGGCAGGTACAATGACACACGGTTGTCACCTTTTAACATCAGCATGGGTTACAGGGATCTATACTGTTCCGCCCCTATGACACATGAAGCAAGTGGTACTTCTTACAACCGACATTTAACATTGTGGCAGCACATAGCAATATCAACCCTCGTTTTACTAATCAGGTTGGTTGAAAGTTCCATGCATTTCAGTCAAATCAGTGATCAATCTGGTCCGGTAATCTGCAACCCCACTACTTCTAATCACCTTGACACAATGAACAACTCAGGTATAAATACAAACATTGTTTATTCAGTTTCAATTCACAGTGAATGTTGACAGCATCAGATGAATGAAGTCTGAACAACAGTGAAACATCACAGGCTGACTTTGTTGGAAGGATACAGTTCATTTCAGTGTGTGGACAAAGGATACCAGCTAATGTACAGAATATGTCAGCTCACGTGGATGTTTTCTCAGATGCAAACAGATATATCTCACTTAATGATATTTTCATTCTCTCATAACATGTGACACAAAATCTAGTACAAACCAAGGACAATGTCATGTTGGCAAGTGGGATTCCACACAGAATGCATAGATAAGATGAAATATCATTCATTCAAGTAATTAAACTGAAACAACAAATTGCAAGGTTTGTTTAATGTTACCATTACACTGTTTTTTACAAACATGTCCCAAGTTCCTTAAGATTAGATACCCCTGAAAATGAAACTCCATTCACATGAATAATATTACAAACCCTTGTTACAGAATCACAATCAGTAGTAGTTACATCTGCACATATGCTACACAACTTTTGACAGGGATAAAAAATACACTATGTATACTGTATGTCAATGTGACGAAACTCAAAGGTCAACAATTCTTGTAATTCCGATTATTTCAAAATGAGTGAGTTTGGTTTTACTATGATTTCAGCAATTTTCTAGCAATATCACAGCATGGTACACAGAAATAGGCTCCACACATTGTACTCATTTGGAGAATTAAACCCAAGCCTTTGGCATGATGACCTTAAGCTTTCTAAGCACAAGACTACTCAACAGCCCCCTCAACTTGAAGTGGTGCGGTCAGGTAGCCTAGTGGCTAAAGCATTTGCTCATCACGCCGAAGACCCAGGTTCGAGTCCCGACATAGGTACAATGTGTGAAGCCCATTTCTCATGTGATCCCCCACCGTGTTTTTTCTGGAATAGTGCTAAAAGCGGCATAAAACCATACTCACTCCACTTGAAATGAAGCTGAAAATTCACCAGTGATAACATCAATTACTTTCTGTATAATAACATCGCAACATCTTTTGAATCCCGCCTGGATTGATATAGTGCTCAAAAGTTGAATAGTATATATACAAGACTACATTGTTTCCTGGCTCAGACACACTACGGCTTACAGGTTGGACTTCCTTGTGAAGAAGGCCATGATAGCATTCATACACTCGTCGGACTGCCACCTCTCAACCAGCAGGTCACACTCCTTCTCATTCACTTCATGCAGCTTCTTTTTCTCAACCTCACGGATAAGGTTTTTAGAGGTGGTCATGCTCTGAAAATAGAAATAGGGATTCAATAACTTTCAGTTTGTGGTAAGTCAAACAATGTGTTCTTTGATAATTGCTGATATACAATACTGTCACTTACTAAAAACATTTGTTGAAGTAAATTTTTAATAATGTCAATGCATTTCAACTGTGGATGAACATATTCATGGATTATATTTTACTGAAGTCAAAATTATTCTAGTCATATCACTGTGGCCTGAAAATAATCAAGCCTGGAAACCTGCAGTATATACCATTATACACAATACAATAATTCCTTGAGAAGTATCAAATATGCACAGTTTCATACAGCTTATGTATTATTAAGGTGCAGTTACATCAGCTGTTGCAAGCAGTATTACCACACAGAGAGTGAATGTTGATTAATACTGCAGTCACTAACCTCTCAGTAATACAACAACAACTTGTCAATAATCTGAGCCTGGACTAGGCAAACTGGTGGTTTATAACCATCTGCATTGCCAGGGGATGATGACACTCGGACAAGTCACACATTGTGGCCACTTAATCCTCATTTTAGTTGATTCTTATGACAAATATAGGGTCCAAAACACCTAATCTGCCCCAGAAACCCCACAAAGAATTATGACTAAAGAACAATGCCTTTCTAGTTTCATAACTCGAATATTGAACAAGGGTTTTACCTTGGCTAACAAACTACAGGAAAAATGAGGGTCCTGTAAAGTACCGTATTTTCTTGAGTATAGTGTGCACATTTTTTTCCCCGAATACTATGCTCAGAAACAAGTAACACCGAACCCCTTCAGCAAATTCAGGTAAACGAACCTGTGATAAGAAACTTGGTCAGAACAAATTTGAAATATGAGATAAAAAAATCACCAGACATGTTGGTCTACTGTTTAAATTGTACTTTCTGTTCTGCTAGGCATTGTTCTACATGCAGAGATTAAGATTACTTTGTGTATTATCTCATCAGCTTACACACGTTTTTCTTGGAATCTACCAGTGATTCGGTTAAAACTTACCCACTGATATAACCTTAAAGAGTTTTGATGCAATGATCGGAAAATTTGTTATCTGAAACTAATTTTTTAACAGGAATAATATATTCCAATATCGTGTTTATTTTAGTTAGGCTTTTACTATATATATTTATAACATTAATAACCATAAGCGTAGCACTTGAGTGCAGCTGATCACTATAGCCGGATATTTTTTTTCACACTGAACAATTTGACCAGTCACCATCAAGGCTCCCGTGCATGTGATCGCGAGAACTATATGTTGACATAGAATCGTCAGACTACAACAAATATGACTTTTAACGAGTCAAATTATGGCACTCATGATATGTGTATCCATTCTCTGTCGACTAAAGTATGTTTCAAGGCATCACTAGCGGTAATCTGATTGTGGTTGCTGGAAGTTACAGTGAGTTGTGTGATCTTCCGATCGCTTCACACATCATTTGGCCGAAATGATTTTAAACAATATTGAAAGGAATTTTGAATAAGATTAATGAAATAGGTTACAAACTTAAGTCCAGATATTCAATGAACACTTTTTTATAACCAGACAGTGTAATCACAAGATTTCATTGTGTACTCCTGTACGGATTTGTTGACATGGTATTTCCGGTGTTACGTGCTCACGGTAATGTCTTTGCATTGGGTGAGAAAAAAGTCATACTCAAGAAAATATGGTAATGAAACAAGGTTGTGTACTGTAAGATTTAATCATTACTTTAATTACAGGACCTACATATTTCTTGTAAAAAATTGGTGTAATATTATTGTGTGTCCGGAGGATGCAATATATTTTTTTTTCTGTGTCCATTTCTGCACTTTGTGCATACTAGTTGCACATTTCTGCTTTGTGTAAATATACCTTAGGTGGCAACTTTGAGTACCCCTGCATCATGGCATCTGACTCCTTCTGGAAAGAATTTTCTGGGATGATGTTAGTGATGAGATTTCTCTCTTTTGCTTCTTGAGCTGTCAATTTTTTGTTGAACAACAACACTTCATTCGCCTGTAAAATAACATACAAAAAATTACAATACAGGAATTTTTTACATTTGGAAATATGAAAATTATGTCAATTGCACAGCAGATAACAAATGTGTTGAGTTCTCTTCAAGATTGGGATATACAGAGAACATTGAAACCTCTCTCTAGAAAATGTAAAGGTTGAAAATAAGGAAACTTATGTTGGTCTTTGAAATTGAAATGTCGACAAAACATTATGTCTATTAAACTGAATTAAGATAAATTCACGTTAGCTCAAATGGTTCCCCAGTACACAAACTACATCTCCTTATTGCTCATCAAATGACCATCATATTTGGTGGGACAGGTTATTGCCTTCAGATATCAAGTCATGCCTTGGCAAGATTCAGTCTTGGAATCACATCAATAAGTTTCGGATTAGAAACTGATTCTTATTTTCACTAGTACCCAAAAATGATCCCAATCTAACTAATGGTAAAACTGTAGTCCATAAGGAAATGTCACAAGTGCTCACTGAAAATTACTACCGGTAATCTCGGAGTAGCAGACATATGTTATTTTCAAACCCTGAAGCCTCCACAATGTATCAGAAATAGCAATTGTTTTAGATGTTATTCGTGTTGGACCCGGAGACAAGCACAGCTAGTGTATTATACACAAGCAACTGATATTCCTGTACTGACAGACACTGATTCTAAACATGTATGTGAGTGTAACATATTCAGATGCCAACCCTAATTTGAGGCAATAAGGAATACCTGGAACATTTGCAGTCTAAAATTATTAATGTAAAGCACATAAGCATGACAGACTTTTCTTTTGTCATCGCCCAAACTCTGAAACATCTGTTAACTTGAAAAGCTGAAACTATTTGACAATGCCTGTGATAATGTATTAAACCCAGCAATACAGAGGATAAAAATCCTCTTTTTGACCAAAGTATGACGTAACTGGCTTACATATCATATCAACATACTGTCATGAGCTTCTTTAGTACCAACATGCTTTCTACATTTGCTGATACTGTAAACGATGATCTGTTTCGCTGAGAATAATCCGGCAATCACAGTTAGGAAAAGAATGTTTTGGTAAAACTGGTTCCTGCAGAATAGTTATTATTACAGATAAAGTTACGGAGGATGCATTTGTCTTGAGGAATGAACACTTTATTACACAAATGCTCTGACAGATAGTGAAATCAACAACTAATCAAAATATCCTGTATTTTGGGGGCCAAATTTCATAACATACTTCACTTTTCATATTGGCAGAGTATGGGTCAAAATATCTTAAGGATTCTGCTGAGATCATAGTGGTTGGCATCTCTGATAATGTACCTTTGCCGATCCCATGAGCTTTGGGAACACATAAGAAGAGCATCCCTCAGGTGACTGACCCAGCACTGTGAAAGGGGTGTGGAATGTTGCCTGCAAAATGTGTTCATGGTGAATGTAAGCAATGACAAGCTGAAAGTCCAAACACTAACATAACAGTAAGAAACTCAAACTTCAAATTTCATTCGATAATAGATGCATCGTCATTCAAATACATGAATATCTGCCATGGTCACTGGTACACAGTTGTCAACACTAGTGTACACTTTCTAGTTTTAGTCACATGATCTTTAACCCTTTTGACAGTAAATGACTTATTTGGTTGGCAATAAATGCATTGTCTAGAACTTAGTCTTCTTCAATATATAAAACAACTTTTGACCCAACAAGACATTCATACTTATAAAAAAAAACATTGCCATGAGCTTGATTTTAGTTTACTGCCAGAAATGGTGCATCATTCATCTTGTCTGTATATCATGCAAACACTATGAGTTATATTTCACCTTGAAGTTTACTATTCACTTATTTCGTGCAAATAACAAATAAACACAAATATTAAACACAAATATTAAACACAGGTTGCAAGTATTTTATAGTAATACAGTTTCAGAACCATTACATAGTTCCGTGGCATGTTTACACAAAGAGTATGTTTGCATTAATTTGCAAATATTTAATTTCTGTGATTTGTTTAATGTGTGGTGCAGCAAATGTGGGATGTTGCCAAGAATGTATGCATTCTCTGTATTTGTTTCAGCTGTTTGACAACAGGTTCAACAGGAAACATTACTACACTGATCAGACAACCACATCATGTGCCTGGCTGAGAACTCTTCTCACACACAGCAAAGAATGGCCTGTCCTGGGTGCTTCCAATTCACCAGAGTAACGATCTGACCCAACGTTAGGGTGCCTTTCATTGATTTGATTAATCTGAAATAGAAGCAAAGTTATTCTAAACACATGTTTGTTACTTACCCTATCTGAGGCATAGACTGCATCAAACAGACCAAGTGTGGTGACTGAAACACCAACTGCAGGGCCATTTATTAAACCAATCAATGGCTTCGGGAAATCAATGAAAGTCCCAACAAATTCCCTGGAACAAAAAACATCTCATATGACTCATTTCTTCAACACTTCCTCCAAGTTAATGCTGCTTAATATCTGTAAAATTTTATATCCATAACAACCTCTATTTGAAAGCTTTGATTATTGTGTGGAAATTCTCAAACTTTTCATACATAACTTAACTGGCAGAGATAAAAAAGATGACCTTAAATTGCATAAAAGAAGTTGCTGATGAAACAGGCAAAGGCTCTGTACAGATTGATCTTCAATACCAACACAGTCCTAACCTGACTGATCTTCAGCATTACCACAACCACTGCCTGCATGATCTTATACACCTGGGTACCTTGGCCTACATGCATTGTCCTCTAGTATCTAGTAAAATCAAAGGAACCTCCAATGTTTTAACTATTATCAAATACTTATCAGACTACGACAAGGACACCTCGACTTTCATGCCTACTTTTCAACACTATGTTCTGTTACATCAAAAGCACTGAAAAGATGAGAGATGAGGTGATGAAAAACCCACCTGAGTATTTCTCGGGCATCGAGTGCCATCTTGCCAATATCACTGGGTTTGATGTTGGCAAAGTTAGCCAGATCATTTCCACTACAGTAATAGTCTCCAGCACCTGTGAAATAACCAGTGATTCATAATTCTATTTATGACTATTCATGCAAATGTTATTTCACTCAAAATGTGTTGCCAGATTAGCAAACATATGTTTATTTCATCTTATTCATCATGTCCTGCCAGATGAGCATACAAATATGAAACAAAGCAAAACAGGCAATGTGAATAAGTCTTTACTGAAATGATCATCAAAAGACACAATTTCACACATTCCGGTTCACATGACCTTGCCCATTGTTTTGACTATGCCCAACAAGGTTCTTCATGTATGCAAATAGTCTTTGTAGGTTTTGAACTCACATGACTGTCAGGGCCTTTTCCTGCAACTTTCAAGATGATCAAAAACAATTCCCTTCTCACAAATCCTTCACTGTCATGGGCAAAGTTACCAAATTTACACTCAATATTAACTTGGCTTACCAGTCACTACAGCAATTGATACACTTTTGTCCTGACTGGCCTCATTCAGAGCGTCAATCCATTCTCTGTACATCTGTAAAGACAATTACACCCTTTTGTCAAACACCTGCTTCACAAGCTCTGTGCCAGGTCTTAAACTCACTGATCTTTGATTTGACTCTTGTTCCAATGAAGTAATTCCCAATTTGTCTTGTGGGATTTTTAATAATATACACACATGGTAATTATGTACTTTTGAAATTCTAGTGTGTCAGTACTACCTCAGCAATTTTGAATACATGAGTAATTAAGCCAATATTGTTACCAGCAAGACATTGGACATTTGGGACACCTGTTTAAATGATCAGAAATGTCATTTGGGACACCTGTTTAAATGATCAGAAATGTATGTAAATTTTACAATAAATTGTATATTTACATACTTATCCTATATTACACTATGCATATTTCTTTCTTCTTCGATCCATATTTGGATCCATATTTCCAGCTTCTAAAAAACAATTTACTCAAACTTCCCTCGCATCACCATGGTCAACTCCCAACAATCTGGGTCGTGTACACTCGGTATGCATGTTGACCGATACACACTAGCCATGTGATACACACCAGCCACTTCATACTACTTGATTGTCCATGATTGAACCGTGAGAAAAAACACCAATGGGATTGAAAATTATCCCCTGGTTAGAATTAAAAAGGTCTCAATCTGTGTAGCACGTCACCACACCATGGTGATTAGAAAGAGAATGAGTTGTCTGGGGAAATCATGTGGCTAGCGTGTATAGGTCTACATGCATAAAGAGTGAGTTTCCAGATGTCTCAATACCGTGTTAACTGACCAGAGTTACCTCCGCTACCCAGTTTCCACCAAGGCATAAAAAAGTCTGTTATATAATGCATAATATCTTTCTTCAATGACTGCCCAAATAACGAGACATGTAACTGATTAACACAGTGATCACATGATACCTTCCTTTTGATGTTGGCTGCCTGGTGATATATTGTAAAACAAACATCATCAATCGTGGTTGCTGTCCAGTAAGTAGGACACTAGTGTGTATTTTACACTGTTGGTAACTGAAATCACTTCGGATTCAGAAACCGGATTTCCAAATAAAAGAAGGAGTCTATGTCGCATTTATTTCGTTTCATGTAAATAACGTCCAGTACACTTTGATTCTGGGTATCTGGGTTCCAAAACTTCCAATGCATAAGATTAGTCAATGAAGCACAGCAAATCAAATTACTATCTGAAAAACTTCACTGTACCTCGTAATTGATAGCATTTTTCTTGGTAGGTCTGTTCAGAAGGATCTTGAATACTTTTCCTTCTCGAGTTACTTTGATCTGTTTGTACTTTCCTCCATCTCCACTTGCCTCTGCTGAGGAAGATCCTTGCTCTTCTGCCACAAGGGACTCTACTACATTGATGTAGGCTTTCTGTGCATCATCCTTAAACAGCAAACTGAACCATTACTTCAAATAGCTTAGGACAGATAGTACACAAAATAGCTGAACTAAAACAGGCAGACAAGTTTGTGACAATAAATACTGATAATGTCATATGTTCCGCAGCTGTCATCATTTTCTCCAATATGAAGCTCACATGTCTTGATGGAAGTAAAATACTGCTCACGTTATACTATTATACTAAATTTACCTGAGACATACTGCCAAGCTCATTCCAACTCTGCCATTTTGCTTTTCCCACTAGGTCCATCATTCCAGGTTTGGGTGCATTACATTTGCCAACAGTGGCCTGAAAAGACAATAATAGATAGTTTGTATTATCAAAAGATATATTCTTGGAGACCAATAATGCAAAAGTAATAAAGTATTTGACAATTTAGGCTAACTTTAAGTGATGAAAAATATCAACCAGTATTTGCACTTTCAAATATCTGTAACAACCATAGTATATTGACTACATTTTATCAAAGCAAAGTAATTTGATTTAAATAACTGAAACTTGCTTCATCAATGTCAAATTAACACATATACATACTCTTTCATCCATAAATCCATGTCATAACAATTAGTTTATCATTTGTCAATAGTCCTAAATGCATTCTTTGTAAACCAAAACATAATGCGTAACGTCTGTCATGACTGTCTACATGTAAACATACCTGCTTGAAGAGACCATACATCTTCAGCTTTACTTGATTGCCTGGATCCTCACTGAGTGTCTTGAGCCTTTCTTTAGCCTGCTCGAAAGCTGCATCATGGGCTGGCATGGTCCTGACTGCAGCAAGATGAAACTGTCTCTCGCTGTGAGTCCTCAAAAGTCTGAAAACCAGTTAGCTCATTCATTAAACAAAAAGAGAAAAACACTATCAACACATAAATTGCATAATGTCTAGAGCTTGTTTTTTTTCCAAAAAAAATAAAATAACAATAATGCTTGCATTTTTTTCTGACAATTCCTTTTGACTTTACATGTTTGAGTCAAAATAAAGTTTCATTCAACTTCAGTGTATCTAAATAATGTTTGTCAGGGCTCCGATAAAACTATTCCCAATCAGACATTATGTTCTCAATTTAAGGCCTACAGTTGGTACTCGGGTAGTGGACTCATCCCAGCCCTATATCTGAAGAAATTTCTTTTCTTTGAAAGTCAATAATATTTTGCACTTGTATAACGTCTACTCAGCTCATATCATAAAATCATTGTCAGTACTCCCAGTATTGGTTATATTCTTTGTAGGGCTGGCTATCGATATAGATCAGAGATAGAGATTGATAATCGCAAACTCAACATCGATCAATTATCGATAAATATCGGAGAGGTAACTTTAAACAAATATGCAATAAAGTCCCAAAAGAAATCAACATATTGTACGCCACTGGTGAGCAGTGACACATTTATGGATGGATTAATCTGCGGACATTTGAGATATAACAAAAAGAGTTGCTTTCAATCTTCAACAATTGACATGATCTGTTTCCTTACATCTAACATTTATTTCATCACTATAGTTTATGTAAGTTATTATCAAAGACAACAATTTCATATTTATAATCATTAACATTTCTTCCCATTGACGATAATTCCGATTATCATTCTTTTTTAGCCAGCTGTAGGTCTTTGTCTAGGCTAAATTTGAAACAGTACCTGCTCACTGCTCACTTTTCATTGACAAAAAAAGAATTGGTTTGGGACAAGGAGTGCAAAGCCAGCATCAGACTTTAGGAGAACATTGGGAATGTGTGAATGTTATAGCTGGTCGCGAAGGTTTCCTGGACTAAACCTCTGAATAAATAGACCTAGAAGATCCCATTAACACCTAGGCCGTAACTTGAACTTTATTTTCTTTACAATCCCACTCTCAGTTTCGGCAGTAAGTGTCACCCGGCTTCAGTTTCGGCAGTGTCACCCGGCTTCGGAAATCTATCTTACCTTAAAAGTGTGCAGATTGTCGATGGGAAGGGGTTTTTAACAGTTGGCCTCAGTCATATGAGGAATTAATGCACAAGAGGATACCACCGAAGCGTGGACCCAACTCCTGCAGTTGACCCTTAGAACAGAGTCCAAAGTTCATGTACATTCTCTCACTGTTCAGGCACTGGAAGTGTTTCTGTTTCGTTGGTTTTTTTTCAGATTAGGCCTAAGACTTCCAGAAAAAAATAGCGGCTAACATAATTGGCACACAGTAGTTATAAATGCTATAAGTTTCACAGTTTGATGTTGATAAACAAATAATACCTGAAACTTCCAGATGACAACAGGCTAAAGGTTTTCCTGATAGACGCTGCCATTGCAATCTCAAGCACGATACCCGTTCTTCCGAGTTCTCTCCCTTCGCCTTCTGATCGCTAAACTCCACCACAGCGCGTGACACCTTCGCGTCACTCACAAATGGAACCTGTATGCAGGGAAGAGGTTATCGTTGCGAGGAGCTGACAGCATAATCGACAATGTCATGAAAACATAATATGGTATTAGGTCTTATGTGCACAGTAAGTCACCTCCTTAGCAAACAGCACCATATCAAGAGGTACCACACCCTGATAACAACACATTGGCCTATTGGTGAATAAAACAATAAAAACGATTTGTTTGGCATCAACCATTATCAATAAAACAGAAGAGAGAAACTTTCTTGGGGTAAAACGTCGTACGTCATTTAAACGCATTACATAACACTTAGGTTTGTGAGGATTAACATGTCACCAGAACCCATCAATAATTAGAGATTTCGTCATCCAAAAAATGTATTTTGTTATCTGTACACTTTTAATCACGTTAATAACATGATATTTTATCATTCCGAAGATATTGATGTTTTTCACGACACTACTGACCATGTCGAATGTACTTCGCCAGTCATTGCGGGAATCGATTGTTCTGGATACATTTGTGTGATGTTTCTTGTTCATTTATAGATTTTACACGTTACATTTTAATTTTGGAAACCTAATTGTCCAGACACTTTCTGTTCTGTGGCTGGTCTCGGACAAAGGTATTTACAAAATTCAACATGTGCTGTTTTCATGGGTACAAGGAAGGAAAAAACGAAAGACCGTTTTATTTTCGGAAACTCAAATTCTGAACAATGTGATCCACATGGACCAGCTAATTTTACTTTGCTAGAATCTAATATATTAAATACATATACAAAATATGTGATTTAAAAACGTCCTTGAAGTTGATCTGAACTATATCTACCACTCTGTTATGTGACAAGTTTGAAGCTGTCGGACAAAATGACGAATTCTATATATCTTCGAACTTTTTGATTGGTCAATCATATGAGGTTGTTTGACAGGTGGCGATAGATTTTTTTGTTCAGTACACTATACCCTTCGTGCTGCAGTTATCTTAACCTTTATCTGTGCCGCTCTTCCTTCGCCAAACCATGCCGATGCATTCGACTTCACCAAAGAAGTAGTCTACGACATGCGCCCCCTCGGATCTACCTCCCACAATAAACTGACACGCCGGGACACGATGGAACGGAAGTATTTTAATTTATTTTAGTACATTTGGTCATTTATAAAGAACATTGTTTTATTCCCCCGCGATGATCATGGTCTTCAGCAAATGATGGAATCAGACTGATGGAATCGAGTGGTCAGGCTCGCAGACTTGGTTGATGCATGTTATCGCATCCCAACTGCCTGTAGATCGATGCTCATGCTGTCAATCACTGAATTGTCTTATCAAGTTTCTATTATTTAAAGACTGCCGTCCTATAGCTGGAATATTCCTCAGTGTGGATTTATACAACGAACTGACAAACAAACAAAACGTTGTTGTTTTGTCTACGACGTAACCTAATATTAGCAATACAGCGTCACAGATAATTCGCATACAAACGTAAACAAGCATGGCGTCTGACACAATCAGTATAACCCGTGAAGATCCGGGTTAGATCGAATTGGTCATCAGCAATTAAGCATTTGTAAGAGGTGAATAACGAGGTAGTGTGACCAGGCTCGCTGACTTGGTTGATGCATGTCATAGTATCCCCATTGCGGAGATCGATGCTCATGATGTCAATCACTGAATTGTCTGGTCCAGACTCAATTATTTACAGACCACCGTCACATAGCTGAAAAAACTGCTGAGTTCAATATATGCCGAGTGGACACGGATTTATGGGCCTTGCACTGTCAATTTCAGTTCAGTTCGGGTCCACCTGGCGTTACTGGACTTTGAGTGTCTCCCTTTGAGTGAGGGCACACGCCGTTTGTGAAGTTTTCAGCAAAACACTGTGCGGACTTCAAGCTCCTCACACCGATATCCCGTTCGTGGAGCTCTCTAATACTATCGATGCCACCAGTCAAAACTCCCCGCAGTGATAGATGACCACAACTATGCTTGGAGTTGAACTCGCAGCCGATTGATGAAACAGAAATTCAAATTGACAAACGAAGAAAGTAATTAAGCAGCGGTAAGTGTATTCGGCGTCACGACAGTCGTCACTTGTTTGTAAACATAACGGTCATTCGGTTGCGAGTTCAACTCCAATCCTGGTTGTGGCCACCTATTCACAGTAGGGAGTTTTGAGTGAGTGAGTATGGTTTTACGCCGCTTTTAGCAATATTCCGGCAATATCACGGCGGGGGACACCAGAAATGGGCTTCACACATTGTACCCATGTCGGGAATCGAACCCGGGTCTTCGGCGTGATGAGCGAACGCTTTAACCACTAGGCTACCCGACCGCCCCTGGGAGTTTTGAATGGAGGCAGCGATAGTATAGAGAGCTCCACGAGCGGGCTATTGCTGTGAAGAGCTTGGACCCGTGCCGTTGATTCTTGTAACGGCCGTGCCCACACTGGTGGCAGCGATGTTACCGAGAGTGTAACGAAGGTGTAACGCGCTGGGAAGGAGCTTGGCCGTTGATGGTCAAAGGTACATAACTCTTGATTTGTTGGGCGCGTTTACCTCCCTTTGATTGAGGTCACACGCCGTGTGTGAAGTTTTGAGCAAAACACTGTGTGGAGTTAAGGGAAGGGACTTAACTCCTGTACAAACGCGATGATCTCCCTTTGACGATAAATAAAACTACTACCGACAACCACGACCTCAGTATCTTGTGAGTGAGGTGAGGTACGATGCTGAGTGGATACAAATGTAGTTTTATTTCCCGCGCACTGTCGATTAAGTTTAATTCGGGTCCACCTGTCGTTACCAGCATACAACGCCGATAAGAGTCACTGGACTTGAGGACCCGTGCCGTTGATGGTCAAAGGGAAGTAACTGTAAATCCTGTTTACTATTTGCGAAACAGACTTACCTCCCTTTGGGACAAGGGACATAACTCTTCATTTGTTAGGCGCGATAACCTCCCTTTGATTGAGGGCACACGCCGTGTGTGAAGTTTTGAGCAAAACACTGTGTGGAGTTAAGGGAGGGGACTTAACTCCTGTACAAACGCGATTATCTCCCTTTGACCATAAATAAAACTACTACCGACAACCACGACCTCAGTATCTTGTGAGTGAGGTGAGGTGAGATGCTGAGTGGATACAAATGTATAGAGAGCTCCGGGAACGTACTATCGCTGTGAGGAGCTTGGCCGTTGTAACTGTAAATCGTCTTACTATTTGCGAAACATACTTACCTCCCTTTGGGACAAGGGACATAACTCTTCATTTGTGGGGTGTGATTACCTCCCTTTGATTGAGGGCACACGCCGTGTATGAAGTTTTGAGCAAATTATTGTGCGGAGTTAAGGCAAGTTAGTTAACTCTTGTATAAACTACAATATTTTAGGGCCACTTAAAAAGATAATTCATAACCTTCACTTTATATTTGTTACATTTTGGGCTCATTTTCTGCAAAGTCATATTTTCAGACTTATAACTGTTTATGTCAAGTTGAAGTTTTTAGGTATTATGTCTGATCAATTAATAGTAGACATGTATGCTGAAATATTTTGAAATAATGTTTATATTACATTATCACAACTCCCATAAGATTGTTTTGTTGTTGTTGTTTGTTTGTGTGTTGTTGGGGGGGGGGAGTGCTCATGCCGATAGTTACGGAAGGTAAGTTGACCTTAAATGTCTTTCTTTATGATGGCGCAGCACAATTGTATCCTAGCAGCCATAAGGTCCCTTTTATCCTGGTGGGTCACATATATTGTTTATTTGTTGTTTAACACCGCACTCACCGATATTCCAGCTATATGACGGCTGTATGTAAATAATCATGTCAGGACCTGACAATCTAGTGATTGACAGTGATAATTAACATCGATCTATGCAGTTGGGATACGATGACATGTATCGACCAAGTCAGGGAGTCTGACCACCCGGTGTCGTTACCTCTTGCAAAAGGGACAAACAAAATGACTGTTTAAAAACAATGTTGTTTTTTAAATAGAAAATATATACTTGCTAACAGTATGAGACGCCGGTTTACTATATATTCAGTATTTATGATATTAATTTATGTTTAAATATTCAAAATTAGCGCAGAACACACACCTGACAATTTTGACGTATTTCCAACACCAATATACATTGTTATAACATCTTTAGCCTCAAAATTGACATATTCTTGAGTTTAAGATTCTTTCCATTCCTAAATACATACCTTCTAAAACACACCTTGGTCATAATGAATGTGACTATACACACAGATGTCATACAGAACAGTTACTCCTCCCGACAGCTGAAATGAATCACACCAGATATTGATCAATCAGTCTTAGGAGACAAGGCCTACCTATAATAACTAGTTACATGTGGTAGAGGGCATCTGTGTGACACACATTTGGATACATTTGACATGGAGATTATCTTCAAATCTATGTCATGAAACATGTTCATGGGAAAACAAAAATAAAATCCACCTGGCTGTCATTAATCATGTTAATAAATAGAATTTATGAATATGTGGATGAAGCTAAACGTATTAATTGAGAACTTGTTTTGTTATATTAACATACAATGGTCAAACGAGTGAGTACATACTCAGCGTCCTAATTGAAGGGCCACCTAGGTGTGAAAGGTGTCCACCATGAACTTTGGCTAACAAGCGACAATAGATCTGAGTATGTTGACAATGTGATCAACAGTTGGAGAACACACGCCAGAACGCAACCTGTGGTTTACCCAATGCACGTGCAATACACGACAAATAATAGTGAATGTGGGCCTACAATAGTTCATTCCAGACGGGACTCTGCATTATTGAAAGTTGAAAATGCGACTTTTTAAAATATTTTTATCTCTTATCTGCGTGACCCCTCAATAATGGCGCTGAGTATATTATTGCTATACAAAAGGTGCGAGGTTTTCCCATTTCACTTGTGGTAGGGATATGCTGAAATGTCATAAGGATAAACTGTTCATGCACATTATACTTGTCATCTGCAAGTACTTCCATGTTTCTGTCACCAGATACGTTTGTATATTTACACCTGGGGCAAATTTGCTCCATGTCTGGAGCGGGTGCAAATGTAAATTTACACAAGTGAGCATTTGCACATGATGAATCTGTCATGGGAAGGTTAATGCCAATGCCATACGATGATCTAATTAATATATCTGTTGGTTTGCCAACACCAAACAAATCGGCCACACTTGCGTATTCTGAAGTTGACGCTGTTCAGTACACAGCAATACTGACTTTTATGCAGACATTCAGAGCTGGGTGGACAGTGTTTCCTTTGGTTTTCAAGGAGTGAAATATTTGTGTACAGATTAAATCAAACACATGTTGCTTCATGCAAATACTTCTGTGACGTAACTCTCTTCTCATTTGACATTTTAGAATACAACCTTTCATGGTGAACGTCATGAACAGACTGAGGAACCTTACGCCATTTACATACTTCATTTAGATACATTAAGTTAATTTTCACGTGAACGCATAGTAAATTTACATGTACACATGTGTGTATAGTTACACATGTGCAAAATTAATTATTTGAGTAAATGTTGTGCACGTGAACGGGGTATAAGACGCGTAACCATGCAAATATAATGCTTAAACAGAACCAAGCAAAGCTATTGTCATGCATTCCAAAAACTAACATGATAAGATATTCATGAATGTTTGTCAACTGAACATGCTGACACGAAATTACTGTTCGTTTCTTTTGATAAATGAAAGCAACGATGCCCTTCCACATGCATAAGAAATGTCTGCAAAAATTGATTGTACGATTCCTATTACAGCATGATCATGTGTTTATGTGCTTTGTGCTACCGGTAGGGCAGAACATGCTAACCCTTTTCGAGAACACCTGTTGTCATCACTGATTTTCAGTGGTCCATTTTATATATATACTAGCATATGGATCACTATCACACATTGATGATACCAGATGTTCGCGAAGAGGTTAATGTATCCTGCCCCACCAGTGGCACCCGTCACAAATACATGCAAAGCTAGGTCATTTGTTCAACTGAAGAAAATACGGGAACATATGGTCTAGTTGGAAGATAGGGTCCCAATGTACCCGAAAGATATATTTTTTACTTAGATATTTGTAACCCCATAGTGTCTAGTCAATGAATTTTGATGTTCCCAAGGTGAAATATTGGCGGTCATATTGGATTTTGGACACACAAAAATATAATCGGCATAACTAGACATGGCACATAAACATATGATACCATTTTTTGTCAGTAATCTAAGCAGAAGAAAGCGATTAAAGGGTTAATTTCATGATTAAAATATTACTTAAACATTTGGGTACATTACAAACACGTAAACCTTGAAAAAGTATATTTAACTCAATGACTTACTTCAATGAAGTCTGGAAGGAACAGTATTAAATTTACTTAAATTGATAGCTAACTGCATAACAAACTATCATTAAGTCACAGTAACAAGAAACGATTATACTGCTATTATACTCCTTAACATGTAAATGGTGTTTTTTATTGAACACCTGTATATCATCATTTGCTTGATAACGGTGTTAGAATCTACACCGAAACGTCGCCAAATTGTAATAAAGAAGTTGCTCATCCATAACAATTTTGACTTAGCTGTATATCATTGTTTCAAGCTTCATGTGTTGACTCCTATATATCAATGTTTCAAGCTTCGTGTGTTGACTCCTATATATCATTGTTTCAACCTTTGTGTGTTGACACCTACATATCATTGTTTCAACCTCTGTGTGTTGACTCCTATATATCAGTTTCAACCTTTGTGTGTTGACTCCTATATATCATTGTTTCAACCTTTGTGTGTTGTCTCCTATATATCAGTTTCAACCTTTGTGTGTTGACTCCTATATATCATTGTTTCAACCTTTGTGTGTTGACTCCTATATATCATTGTTTCAACCTTTGTGTGTTGACTCCTATATATCATTGTTTCAAGCTTTGTGTGTTGACTCCTTTATATAATTGTTTCAACCTTTGTGTGTTGACTCCTATATATCAGTTTCAACCTTTGTGTGTTGACTCCTATATATTATTGTTTCAACCTTTGTGTGTTGACTCCTATATATCAGTTTCAACCTTTGTGTGTTGACTCCTATATATCATTGTTTCAAGCTTCGTGTGTTGACTCCTATATATCATTGTTTCAACCTTTGTGTGTTGACTCCTATATATCATTGTTTCAACCTTTGTGTGTTGACTCCTATATATCATTGTTTCAAGCTTTGTGTGTTGACTCCTATATATCATTGTTTCAACCTTTGTGTGTTGACTCCTATATATCATTGTTTCAACCTTTGTGTGTTGACTCCTATATATCATTGTTTCAAGCTTTGTGTGTTGACTCCTATATATCAATGTTTCAAGCTTTGTGTGTTGAATCCTATATATTATTGTTTCAACCTTTGTGTGTTGACTCCTATATATTATTGTTTCAACCTTTGTGTGTTGACTCCTATATATCATTGTTTCAACCTTTGTGTGTTGACTCCTATTTATCATTGTTTCAAGCTTCGTGTGTTGACTCCTATATATCATTGTTTCAAGCTTTGTGTGTTGACTCCTATATATCAATGTTTCAACCTTTGTGTGTTGGCTCCTATATATCATTGTTTCAAGCTTTGTGTGTTGACTCCTATATATCATTGTTTCAAGCTTTGTGTGTTGACTCCTATATATCATTGTTTCAAGCTTTGTGTGTTGACTCCTATATATCATTGTTTCAACCTTTGTGTGTTGACTCCTATATATCATTGTTTCAACCTTTGTGTTGACTCCTATATATCAATGTTTCAACCTTTGTGTGTTGACTCCTATATATCATTGTTTCAACCTTTGTGTGTTGACTCCTATATATCATTGTTTCAACCTTTGTGTGTTGACTCCTATATATTATTGTTTCAACCTTTGTGTGTTGACTCCTATATATCATAGTTTCAACCTTTGTGTGTTGACTCCTATATATCAATGTTTCAAGCTTCGTGTGTTGACTCCTATATATCATTGTTTCAACCTTTGTGTGTTGACTCCTATATATTATTGTTTCAAGCTTCTTGGGACTCGTGAAGATTCGGGTTAGAATAGGTCATCAGCAACCCATGCTTGTCGTAAGAGGCAACTAACAGGATCGGGTGGTCAGGTCCCTGACTTGGGTGATGCATGTCATCGTATCCCAATTACCTGGATCGGTGCTCATGATGTTAATCTCCGGATTGTCTGGTCCAGACTTGATTATTTACAGACCGCCCTCATATAGCTGGAATATTGCTGAGTGCAGCATTAAACAACAAACAAACAAAACAAAACATGCTTCTTGGCCTTGTGGTTCACATGAAAAGTTTGCTGATAATATTGATTTCAATCTCATGGACAAATCTAAGTCCTGTTGTGGTAGTTCCTGCTTTCAGGGACATCCCATCATCCTGTGAGGATAACAAAGGAGGATCCAAAGGTCACAAGGGTGTCACCAAACAACATGTTCCTTGTTTATTGTTCATGCCAAATGTGTAACTGGACCAGAATCAATTATTGACAGGCCTCAACATTTCTGAGACTAGCCGAGATTGTGAGTGAACTGACACATGATTTGTTTGTCGCACTAAGCAATATTCCAGTTTTTGACGGCGGTTTATAAATAATTGAGTCTGGACAAGACAATCCAGTGATTGACATCATGATCATCGATCAACGCAATTGGGATCGATGACATGCATCAACCAAGTCAGCGAGTCTGACCACCCCATCCCGTTAGTTGCCTCTTATGACAAGCATAGTCGCCTTTTATGTCAATCTGACAGAGGACCAACTGACCTTGAACAGACAATGAATGATTATAATAACTAATTGGACTAAAAAAAAGAGCAATACAATCCGTCATATCAGCTTTATTGATCAAACACCTTAATAAAATATTCTAATGACATATGATAAAATAGACTGACTTAACTTTTGATATATACGCCCCAGACACATCCCACAATGATGACATACATTACAGAAGATATGCGCAGTTCAATCAAAATCAATATCTGAACACATAACATCTTGGTCTCAAATACTATTGCTTAATTCTAACAAAAATATTCATGATATTGTATCCATAAATTTGGGCAATATCATGTACAATCAGCATATGACCGCAACTATGGCACTTGGTTCTTCTCACAAAAGATCCACAAATACTAACCAAAACCTGTTTTATTTGATTTATGAATAAATTACCACTTCGGCGAAACCCACGAGCAAGGGTATGGTGCTGACAAACATTGAAACATAATCGGGGCGAACCGGGATTCGAACCCACAATCATAGGTTTCTGGCGTGCCCAAGGAACACTTGGACATGGACATGTACTTGGAACGATTCTCTGTAATGAGTTGTTTAGTTCTCAAAGCTATTATGCATATTAGAAAATAGTCATATATATTCATGTAAATCTATATATATAGCAGTATAGTTTACAGGGGCATAATGATATACATGGTCAACACTTCTGTCCACCAGGTTCCTCCATCACCTGGGAATACATAAAGTGGCTAAACATTTTTACTACTGTTAGCAATATTACAGAAATATCGCGACGAGACACCAGAAATGGGCTTCACACATTGCACCCATTTGAGGAATCGAACCCAGGTCTTCGGGTGATGGGGCTACCCCACTGCCACAGTACATGCACAGAGTAGAGTTCACTTGAATCCCATGAGTGATACACAGTCTCATTATACAGACACACACCGTTGTGACAAAGTTGAAGTGACCTACAAAATACTTCAAGCCATTTGAGGTTCGACACAACCAAATATTATGAATAAAGAAGGAATACGCCAGAACCAAGCTTTTACTTCGAGACAACTGTATGTTGTCAAACCACATCAAAGTTCAACACAACAGCGTTTGACTGTGTTATCTGACTATAAATAGACACACATCACCATGGTCACTATTGTTTGTGCACAATGCAATATTGCAGCTATATGACAGTGGTCTGTAAATAATCAGGTCTGGACCCGATCATCCAGCGACTGACATCATGACTTTAACGGGTCACGTCACTATTGCTCTACACAGTGTCAGCAGTTATTCACAGGTGATGGAGGAACGTGGTTTTACAAACCTGTAAAGAACTGACGATGAATGGTACAATACAATGAGATTTCTTTTCATGACACAGGCGTATCAAATATCTTTGAAAGTACTCTGAACATAGAGTAGAAATGACAAGTGAAAATTGTCTCAAATACAAAACTGTAAATTTGTGGGCATTGCTCTAGTCCTACAGAAACTTACCACAAGGTCGTTTTTCTGAGATGCAAAATGGTTGACATAAGAGATGGTTGAGATGATACAGTACCTGGGTACTCAAGGAAAAGCAAGTAATATGATACATGACAATAAACAGTAAACAGAATTTTTTTAAAGGTTTGAGTTGTGTACATGATCGCGAACAATAGGTATTTCAATGTTTGTGAATGGCTAAGAACGAGAGAGTGCGGTTTAACACATTGCTTCATTCATATCGTGGCTTAAAGGGTCAGATGAATGAGCGAGGAAGGCCCAAAGTGATACAGGTCTCAGACGTTTATGACACTTGTGAACTCTGACAAACCAACACTCCCAATCAAGGCTGACAGAACCCACAACACATATTTCAGTTTGTCAGCATGTCAGCTACACAGGGAAGCCCAAACTGACACTGGTTACTTTGGTGACCTACAACCCCTGGTACAGAGCTGACAGACAGATGATCAGAGTTGGTGTGAATCAGGGACGTGAACCCATGACCAGAAGATCCTGACATCTAAGGGACACAACTCTGCACTGCTAGTTGCAGTTTCTAAAACCATTGGGCAACCGTGTTCAGTCATTTGAAATATAACATACACTGTTAATATAGATAGATAGATAGATAGATAGATAGATAGATAGATAGATAGATAAAATACAAAAGTCCAAAGATGAGCTGTATAATTTACTCAACCAGTTTCATGCATGTGATTTTCAAGAGTATATTCAGAGCTAAATGTTGTTGATCTTGTCATCATGTCTAATCAAAGCTGCTGATTATCTACTGATTAAGCCAATCTACTGATAAAGCCAATCTGTATATTACCGACACTCTCCATGATGTCATCAAACTTTAAAGCACATTAGTAAGTACAGACTTTAGCCATAGTAGCTCAGGTCTCGTTTTACCAACCTATTATTGAAAAATGCAACCAAATATTTATGACTACATACAAGTGCATGTCAAAATCTTTCAAAATAGTCAATAAATCTGCCTAACTCTTGCATGTCCACACAACATTGATCTTTGAACACATTCAATACTTCTAAGCTAACCATACTCAACCAATAACCACATTTTTATATGTAATTTGTCTTGCTTTCATGCCCTTGACATCAAAATGTGGGTTAATCAAGATTACGTGCACGATTCAACTTTGATAAATTTATGAGTACATGGTGCAACCAGGTTTTGTCTGGTGCAACTAGGTTTTCATGTCAACATGCACCTGGTGAAAGTTTAATCAAGTTCCTAAACTTGAGCCTTAGTAACTGTCGTCCCATCGTAACCAGATTAACTGTTGTCCCATTGTAACTGTCCTCCCATCGTAACCAGATTAACTGTTGTCCCATCGTAACCAGATTAACTGTCGTACCATTATAGTAACCATATTAACTGTCCTACCATAGTAACCAGATTAACTGTCATACCATATTAACCAGATTAACTGTCATACCATAGTTACCAGATTAACTGTCATACCATTATAGTAACCAGATTAACTGCCATACCATCGTAACCAGATTAACTGTCGTACCATCGTAACCTGATTAACTGTCATACCATAGTAACCAGATTAACTGTCCTACCATTGTAACCAGATTAACTGTCATACCATAGTAACCAGATTAACTGTCATACCATTATAGTAACCAGATTAACTGCTATACCATCATAACAAGATTAACTGTCATACTGAAGAAGCCAGATTAACTGTCATACCATTATAGTAACCAGATTAACTGTCATACCATTACAGTAACCAGATTAACTGTCATACCAAAGTAGCCAGATTACCTGTCATACTATTATAGTAACCAGATTAACTGTCATACCATAGTAACCAGATTAACTGTCATACCATAGTAACCTGATTAACTGTCATACCATTATAGTAACCAGATTAACTGTCATTACCATTATAGTAACCAGATTAACTGTCATACCATAGTAACCAGATTAACTGTCATACCATTATAGTAACCAGATTAACTGTCATACCGGAGTGACCAGATTAACTGTCATACCATCGAAACCAGATTAATTGTCATACCATTATAGTAACCAGATTAACTGTCATACCGAAGTAACCAGATTAACTGTCGTACCATAGTAACCAGGTAACTGTCTTACCATAGCAACCAGATTAACTGTCGTAGCATAATTACCAGCTTAACTTTCGTACAATAGAAAATATATGGGCTTCACAACAATGTAAAAATAAAACGCTTATTATGCCAAGTTATTCTTTTGTCACAAGTTAAGCCTAAAATCAAATCAACAAATATCAGAGTACAGATGCTTACCATTATGTGTTTTTATGTGCAGTGAAACTTTATCATGTTTGGTGCAAGCACATGGGGCCTCATCTCAACTGGAAGTGAATTAAACACACTTTATTTCCCAAAGGTTCATAAAAATTGTATGTGCACGAAACAAATGTAACTCACCATGCACCAGTATATTGTTTACGTCATCTGGATGGAAGTGTCCATAAGGATTCATGTGTTACCTCGCTCTCACTTGGGAAATGCAAGAATTCAGACCCTCTTTTCGTAAAACCAGTATGACACACATGTATAATAATCTCTATTTATAATATAAGCATTGAGTGAGTGAATACTCCAATCATCATGTGATTTCCCTGTGATATAACTACAGAAAAAAGAAAGACTTTGGTCACAAATCAACTAATTATATGCACAACCATTGCAAGAACATTTCAGAAAATGCCAATGAGTGAAAACGGAGCTTAATTTGTGAACTGGTGAAAAATATCAAAACACAATTGATTTTACATTATCTGACCCAGAGGTCCCAAAAATTTAAAATCCCAATCGGACATTTGCATTTAGGCCACGCCCCCTTCAAATAGCATATTTTAGTGGTCAGATTCTGACCACTTGCTAACTAATGGCCATTTCTGATATCAGGGTTTGCAAATAAATAAATCAATTTATTACTTTCAAATTTCTTTTTATAAATACCTGCACAAAGTAATCTTTGATCATGATTTTAATGATACATGACATTAATCAAAGATTCTGGGTTATCACTCATACATACAGGGTATGAAACTCCCAAAAATTTCAGCCAGACCACAGGACTGGCTAGCCGAAATACTTGCCAGCCCTGACCAAAACCTGCCTGCCCACTATAATCATATGTTTCTCAGGATAAGCTAACGGGGTTTCTTTTTGGTTACATTTTATCATTCATCTTTACATGTGAATTAATGCTTATCATTGGGAAATATTTAGAATATTGTCACATATGAAATATAACCCGACCGTCGGGCAGGAGGATTTGAAAATCTGGCAGCCCGAGTTGAAATCAACCCGTCTCGGACGGTCGGGCAGGCAGGTATTTCGAACACTGATACATACAGTTGAATATCAGATTACTACCTACATGATAAACTAAACTATACTATTTCCCTAATAACAAATATTATGACACTATGAGTGTAATAGGTCACTAAATATATATAAGTACAGAAAAACAATGTATAAAATTTGACACATGCTCAGTAATAATAGATATTGAACACAAAATCACAAAATGACAGAATGACAGAACAATCACTCAGATATATGATTATAACATTAATGACAAACACTTTGATTATGATGACCACAGTCAATATTGTGTTATAAAATCGAGCAAGGCGAGCATTTTTAAAGCAGTTTACAGATTCAGATGAACTTAGAATAATTAAAAGTGGACAAAAATTACATGTTCAACATGAAAAAATATTGTGAATAATATATACTTCTCCATTTTTTATAGATATATTTTTATTTTTCCATGATACACAGAGCTGATTTTCATAATATGTCAAGTACATATCTAAATATAATGACATATCTGATAAACCCCACCAAACAGTGAGTGGTAAATGTTAAACTGCATGATCAACAAGACAATATTAAATAACACTCACATTGACACATATTCATATTTAAAAATCTTAATAATTTATGAAGTTATATGTATTCCCATCCAGGATTTTTTTTCCATTTGTTTTGGTAAACCATGATTTAAAAAGGTGTTGCCTAAACTGATTCCAACATAAGGCACTTATGGCTGGCTTACAAAACATCATGGTCACAATACAGGACATGATGCACAGACAACAAGTGACTCACTGAATGCATCCATTCACGTGTCAACGGTTACATACAGCAGAACCTTGTTATCATCGTTATCTTTCAATGAACATCATCAAAGCCTACACTGTGGATTGTAGTCTCAGTAAGCAGTAAAAATATGTCAATACAGACTACAAGCCTTGAAATCATTCCCAAATTTAGCTTGTATATATACCATATTCACCATAATAAACGTCCTGTTCTAGTAGCATCAAGCTTTCAGACAAACCACTTACCAAGCCCAAACATTTCCAAGACAGTCCATATTTTTTGGTGTATATTACACATTGTTTGCAGACAAAAGAAATATAAGAGTAGTACATACATAATAGTCTTGTAACAAATATCGTGTGAGTGAGTGAGTGAGTTGGGCTTAACCCCGCTTTTAACAATATTCCAGTTATATCGCAGCGTGTCAGCTTAATGTGGGAGGAAAGCCCGAAGTGGTGCAGTGCAGGTCTCAGACATTTACCACTTCGATGAAACCCACGAGCACGGGTATGGTGCTGACAAACCTAGAAACATAATCGGGGCGAACCGGGTTTCGAACCCACAATCATAGGTTTCTGGCGTGCCCAAGGGACGCAACTCTGCACAGCGAATCGCGGCGCCTTAGACGACTGGGCCACCCATGCCCCCAACAAATATCGAAAAAGGTTCAAATTCATTGATATTTGAACTATTTTTTTTCACTTCTGCTCGATCTCGACAAACTTAATTAGTGTTTGGTTGTAATGAGTGCTCCCCGGCCCCTTTTTTAATACACTAAGCAGGATGTTTATTTCAATGAATATGGTAGCCTGAATATTTCAGTACTTGTTGTACAAACACGTGTGCAGTCACCTGCAGCACATCACGTCAACCTATAACATGTTTTTGTTAGCTTTGACACTTCACAGGTACTCCGTATAAGTTTTAACAATTACCGTATTCGACGTAATAAGCGCCCCACTCTAATAAGCGCCCACAGCGATATTTGCTGATTTATTGGCTCGTGAACAATCCCAATTATCACCCCTTCTGATTGATCAATGTACACAAGACTTATTTATTCGTGTATAATACGCACTCGTGTGTTATATGCATCCTTAATTATGGGCAATTAAATTCTGGAAAAATATATTTGTCGTGTATAATACTCACTGACTTTTCTTTTGTATCATTTCAGGCTGTGATCATAAACCACGAAATTTACAATCTTTCAACTCTGTTTTTTTTTCTCACCAAAAATATATTCTAACAAGAGCCCCCTATTTCTAATTTGAGAGCGCCGTGGGAGCTTATTACGTCGAATACGGTAGTACATGCACAGTATTTAACATAATGTTATCAAATTAATTGCTATGATAATTTCACTGTCTAAATAAACAATGATTATTTCAGTGCTTCATGTGATTAAATTCATTTTCAAGAAAAATAAAACGGATGAGCAATAGGCACAATTGACATTTCCAATATGGCCACAATGTTTAAAAAAAAAGTCGGATGGGTCACCCAAACCCAAAACTTATCCAAAGTGAATTTTGTAAAACTTTCCGAAGCTGACTTGTTTTTTATTTGAGTTCTGTTTAAACATGCCATTCATTTCAATATGGCAATTAAAGCTGTTATTTTTTTACTTGTACTGTAAATCTCCTCAAAAGTTGATTTTGTCTGATAGAAAACATCATCTCCCAAACATAAGGAATTAAGATCTTTTTCCAACATCAAACTTTTAAACTGCTTAATAAGTCGATTAAACACTGACTAGCACACATTTTCTAAAGTATTCATCCCTAAGAGAATTATAACCAAGAAGTGAAGTTAATAGTTTGGAGATAGGAAAGGAAACATGAGGAATGTAATTCCAGATGTTTATTACTGACTAGTTGACAAGTGTTTCCATTTATGACTATTGTCCAAGTTAACTAGTTTTTAACTAGTCAACTAGTTCTTTCACAACACTGTTATAACATGCAGATTAACTTGTAGGACATAATATGCATCTAGTATAACATTATTATGCATGAGAGTTAGGGCTGGGACGAGTCCAAATTTACTACCCGGGTACCGATCCCCCTATAACCCGAGCCTACCCGGGTACCTGCTGGAGGTCTCAAGAGATAGGTCCAAATGTCTGACTGGGAATAGTTGGACCGTAGCCCTGGCAAAATGTGTTTAGATACGCTGAACTGAAGTTGAATGAAGTTTTATCTATATTCATACACATACAGTCAGAAGGAATGTGTGCATAGTCAAAAAGAAATGCAAACATTAGTCACTTATAGTGTAACCATAGAGTTCTAGATCATTTTTTGTCATTAAACAATATATCAAGTCACTAACCACGGATCCGGGTAGTCCTGTGGGTACCCGGGTCCTGCTCAGTACCCACCCGACCCTAGTACCCGAGTTACCCGTCCCAGCCCTAATGAGTGTTATATCCAGAGAACATATATCTGTATATATAGGCAATCTCTATTGTACCCTATTCCTGAGACTACTTGAGATTCACATGAGTCAGTGAGAATTGTTTATGCCAAAGATCGCTGTTATATTTGGGTCCCTGATTGTCCCATTGATGGTATGTTTACTACAACAATTCAGAAATTTCTTTTAGGTTCCTGCTAGTTCATAATTGAACTCATTGGTCTGGTACAGATGTTGTTCACTGTATCATCATTAAAAAACAAAACGTGATCAATATAGTAAAAGAAAAAAATGACAAATATTTTGTCCTTTTTTTCATTATTCTGTTTGTTTCTGAACGACCATCTGACTTCTTTAAAAGTCCGATGGAGCCTGTCTTGGCAATGTGAAACAGGATGTGGACATACTCTGCCAATGTCACAACAGCAAATATCTGGTGGTCTGCCATGTAACTGTGTACAGGTTATGTTCACAGACCAGGAAAACCAATGTTTGACACACAACGGAGATATAGTTGGCCATTTTAAACATTTGGTCTGAGAGTTTTTGTTGCCCTTCTAATATTTATCTGACAAAGTTTCAAAATCAAAATTGAGCACAGGAAACAAGAGGTCAGATGATTGGAATTCCAACATTCTGTGACCACGGTTGGCTCTGGCATGACCATATTTCCTTGAGTATAGTGCGCACCCAAGTATAATGCGCACCCACCTCTAGTGGATTCAGTATTTTAAAAAAAATAATATTTCGAATATTATGCGCAGAAAACAATTACACCGTACCCCTTCTGCGAATTCCAGTAAACGAACGGGTGATAAGAAACTTGGTCAGTACAAATTTGAAATTTAAGATAAAAAATCACCAGACATCATGAGTCATGTTGATTTACATATTTCTATATATGTCTATATTTGCCCAAGTCAGAAGGCAGAGGAGTAAAACGAATGACATTCGTCAAAACCTTTGATTTTCAAACTCTACAATTGTGCAAAATGTTGGCTTTCAAAATACGCATATGAAGTTAATTCTGAAAAAATCAGTACAAGAGACTGAACTCTTGATTTATTATGCATGGAATCAGCCGTGACTGAATGTCAAACTTAGCATCACATTAGCATTATGATGTCTTTAAACAATGAGTAATAACAAAATAACTTCATGTTGGAACCTGTCAGTCATAACTATATATATTTTTTCTCATAATTTATTGCGTATCCATGATCCAGCGATCAAATGGATAATAATAAGTCTGATAACAGATCTGCACCCAAAGTTTAAACCAGGGGACTTCACAGCAGAAATAAGATATATTTCTAAATCATGTCATTCTGTAGTCGGTACATGTTGTCACCATGGTAACAGGATCCTATATCAGGCACACACTGGCAATGTTCCGAAACTTAACAATTACAGTTTTATAATGCTTATGAGCAAACAGTCTTGGAAAACACAAAATCAACTTGAATATCTGCTACAATTACACAAATCAGCTTGGACATTTACGGATGACATAACCGTGATAAACAGACTATAACCTCACGATCTAAAACTCACCTCCACTGGGCTTAAGTTAACGCTGATGAGGGCTCAGTGGTAACCAGGAAGTGATCGGACATGCTGCATAGTAAGC